GCACGGTAAACTTGAGATGTCAATGAAAACAATCACTCCTACAAAGACAGGCATAGACAGGCAACTCCATTAACAAAAGAAAACATGAATATACGAAATACAGTGTACAATACAGTACGCAGAAAACTGATGGTTACTGATAGTACTTAGCAGAAAAGTTCCATTTTCCTAGATAATATTTTTCAATACTAGTACATAGTCCAATTGCCAAGTCAGTCAGATAAACGTCGGCAATGCTATAATTCGATTTTTTTCTAGCTTTCCGGTTAAGACCTGTTAATTTGTAATTAAATTACTGTAACACATAATAGATATGGAATTGAATTTTACCTTTTTCATAAAGAAATGCAAATTACATAAGGCTTGGTCCAAATAGCTTTTTACTGTCCAATATCTTCCAATTACGAAAAAGACCGTGCGAAAGCATATTTTGTTTTTTTATGTAATTGCTCAAAGATTTAAAGTTTATCATGCATTCGTTCTAATATAAAATTTTAGACAAGATAAAAGTTGAAAGGTATTAAGTAAAAAAATAGACAAACGCAATCGTGAAATCGTTTTGAAGTCCGAAAAAAATAATAGCTAACAACACATGCATTGCTACTTTTAATGCTAGTTAAATTTATTTTTATGGTTAAAGAACGTACGATATTGTTAAAAAAAAATGTTTTTTCGAAACTTAACAAACACGCCAGTAAAGAATGTTTAGGTATTGAGAACCTTTGGCGACCCCACAGTTTAAATGTCTATTATAAATACGACGTGATAAGTGGGCGTTACAGACGAACGTTCACCTAATCTGACCCAGGCAATTGATGACATGAGCGCGCCAAGAAATGGTGTCGTCCACACCGTTATGAATTCAATAATAATTTGGTACGCCATACGCATAGAACTTTCAAGATTATCTAAAATTTGAACTTTATTATATATAGCGAGATTTAGGGAACATTCATTTCAATTTTAAATATCATAATGTGCTATTACTTTGTGGACTGTTATTATTCTTTAGTAAAATAATTATCTGTGGTAATTTCTAACTTTCTAAAATTTTCATCTGTTGGATTTCAAAAGTACTGTTGGAATAAACATTATCTGTTTAGAGCCTACTGGTGAACTGTAATATATACTTTTACAATTTTGCTGTTATATCAAAATTTTTGATTTGTCTACGCTTTACACTACTTTTCACCATGCTCAATTGAAATTAAACAGAACTTTTTGTTCATCATTGGGAATCGTAGACACATGGACAAGTTTCTTGTTTTAGGCCATGCAAAATCTTACTTTGAGAACCATAGTGATTCCAACAACAAATACACCAAAGATGATATTATCAAAATGCTGGACTGTTTGATCGACACCATACTTGTTACGTTTGGTGGATTGATATTTCAACAAACCGCCGGTAGTCCAATATGTACTATATCCATACTGGCCGACTGGTTTTTACTCAGATGAAGCTAATTCATACAGAACCTTCTAAAAGTCAACGAGGAAAAGGTATTTTGCAAAGTTCTCCAATTTCAATTTCAGATATATTGATGATATCATGTCACTCAATAACAATAACCACTTTACAGTTGGTACTTGAAACTCATATCTCTCAGTGAACTCCAAATAAAATGAGACTACCGACACAAAAATGTCTGTTTATATCGGAATCTTTTCCTCGATATTGACACAGATGGATGACTTCAAACTAGAATCTATGCCAAACGCGATGATTTAAACTTTCCAATTGTCAATTTCCCAGTTTTCAGGAGAAACACACCATCTGTCCCCTCATATGGCGTATTCATATCTTAATTAACATTTTAGAACTTCGGTATCGGAATGATTTATCACCAATCCTTCTTAAATTATCTGTTTATAAATTCATAAATCATTAAGAAACTACGAAACTAAGTTTTCAACTCTCTAAGGCAAAGTTGTCCTTCGATGGATTTGGCTTTTTTAGTTCTTATTGGTCATATAGCTCTTCAACTGGTTCGGTTTTTATAAGGGATGTCAACTCGGTGAACAATTACTAATCGAGTACTCGTTGATTTTATCGAGCGATACTCGAGTACTCGCTCGGGAATATATCTACAACACGGAAACACAAAAATACGTATTTTACATTCTGTGGTTTGTTGTTTAACGGACGAAAATCCATCTACATTATAAGTATCTGGTATAAAGAATTACACACCATTAATAGCTCATTACCTACAAATGCTAATTAAGTAAAAAAAAAAAAAACAATAATCTAATCAATATAATTTAATGAACACCTCTTTAAAAATTGCAACAAGGAAAAACCATATCAAACAATAGTATTTGGTATTCGTTAAGAAGATACATTTGATGTTTACAAAGGCGTAAAATCTTATAAAGAATACATATTGTCGTTTGTTTATGTAGTTCATACGTGTTTCTCGTTTCTCGTTTTTATATAGATTAGACCGTTGGTTTTTCCGTTTGAATGGTTTTACACTAGTAATTTTTTGGGGCCCTTTATAGCTTGCTGTTCGGTGTGAGCCAATGCTCCGTGTTGAAGGCCGTACCTTGACCTATAATGGTTTACTTTTATAAGTGGTAACTTGGATGGAGAGTTGTCTCATTGGCACTCGTACCACATCTTCCTATATCTATATATTTATTATTGAAAATTGATTCAATACTGAGATTTAAAAAGGAAAAATATCATAACAAAAACTATAAATTTACATTTTTGTAATTAAAAAAAGAGATAAATGTTAAAAGAATATTAATATTGAGATCTAAAAAGGACAAAATATTATAATATAAACTATAAATATAATTAAAAAAGAGATAAATGTCATAAGAATTTTAAATGAGATTATGAAATAAAAGAAATAGTCGTACACTAATAAAAAAAATAATTGTAATAAGATTTCTATCTATTCATCTTTATCTTAATTTATTATAACACATTTTTTTAGGTTATAGTTCTGCACTTAAATTAAAGACATTTATGTACAAGAAATTTGTAATTGTTTCCAATGTTATGTTTGCATATCATATTTGATGCTTTAAATGCATTATGAATGATTAATTTCAGTGCTAATGATATTTATGTAATATTGACAATGTTAATTGTTTTAGTGCTTTTAAAAATATATATCAAAATCAATTTATTATTCATTTTCATTTTTCTGCTTCAAAGAATCAAATCATTGTTGTCAATATAATGGAATTTTATGTGACTGTCATACAAGTGAGAGGTTTATCTAGCTATAAAACCAGGTTTAATCCACCATTTTCTACATAAGGGAATGGCTGTATCAAGTCAGGAATATGACAGTTGTTTTCCATTCGTTTGACGTGTTTGAGCTGTTGATTTTGCAATTTGATAAGGACTTTTCGATTTTAATTTTCCTTGGAGTTCGGTTTTTTGTTATTTTATTTTTTTCAATGAAAATTTTACAACCAAATGTATGAAGAAAAAAATACGTTTTAATATGCACCAATTGCATACAAACTAATCCTATAGAATTTTACAAAGCTATATGTACATATAAAATAGCAACATAAGTTAACTGGAAAAGACTATACCATTTGTTTTTTTGTTTGTTTATATAACCATTTGATAATTGCGGTAATTAAAAGTAGGCAAACCAGGATGTAACCTGATTAGAAGTTTAACTTTTCACTGAGGGTCACCAGAGGATGCAAAAAATTCATTTTATTTGGAAACATTTTCTTGTCAACTATTATTGGGGACAGTCGGTTTCGCAATTTTGTAACTAACACAGTCTTGCAGTCGAAAATATTTGCTCTGACGGTACCGATGTGACGGAATGGCTAAGACATGTTTAGTTTAAAGTGTTAGCCTATAGGGATAGGTCACGTATTTTCGGAGGCATTTTAAATGCCAATTTAGCACAAGAATTCGAAACAAAAGGTACTTTATTTACTAGTATGATTAACCAGTGATGTCTATTTAATTTTCCGAAAGAGGTTCTCAAGAAGATCAATTTTATATATAGAAGACAGCAATATTCTTACAGGAAACTGATTAGTCGAGTTTCGTTTTGGTATTCGATACTCGGTACTACCGAGCGATACTCGAATACTCGAGTATCGTTGACATCGCTAGTTTTTATACATCCTTAGCGCTTTCAAATATTCGCCTTTAAACGTTCCTGATGAAGGTAAATCCAGAAAAGCACTTCGGACGCATAAAATTTATAAAGTGTTGTTTTCATCTTTTACTCTCGTGCATGTTCACTCTATACGGACTTCATTAACTGGGTTGTGCTCCTTTCACAAATTACTGCCCCAACAGTGTAATGTGGAAAAACGACTGAAATCGACATAAGTTTTAGGGTCTTCAATACGAATTGGTTGACCGATACCATGCATTTGTGTCATAACTCATTAGTGGTCTTAGATCATAAGATATAAGTTCCAGAAAAGTCGTTTAATCTGTATAACAACATATTATGTCCTATTCCCTGACTGGGTGTGGATTGGTATGGTCGTTTAATCTGTATAACAACATATTATGTCCTATTCCCGATTCTGACTGGGTGTGGATTGGTATGGTCGTTTAATCTGTATAACAACATATTATGTCCTATTCCTGATTCTGACTGGGTGTGGATTGGTATGGTCGTTTAATCTGTATAACAACATATAATGTCCTATTCCCGATTCTGACTGGGTGTGGATTGGTATGGCGGATGATGCATACATAGCAGAAAAAGCTTACTCGGTATCGTTTATGTTTGAGTTCATGCAATTCCCTCACATTACTGCATCCAATTCAGGTAGCTAAGATTCCTGCCGAAAGGACGCAATGCATATTTCCAACTTCTAGTGTATATGTCGTCTCATTGCCTGCAACTATCGTTTAACTTGGACACTCATAACAGCAAAACAAACTTTAAGGAGAAAGTATGGAATTCAATATCGGTCAAGATGCAATAGTTTTAGCCCATCGGAAATGCTTTTTTTTTTGATTTTTATAAAGGGAGACTGAAGATATTGGCCAATATTGAATTTTTATTTCACGAAGCATTTTTTGATAATATCTTCTTAACATTATATTCTAAAAAATGCATACAATTATATATACAATTGAAAAAATGTAGTTCAAATATATTTACATTAATCCGGTAAAGTAGTTTTTACAAGACTACTAATTATTGGCATGTTAAAATAAATAACTTTTTTTTTAATTTATGTTTGCAAGTTAGATATGGAATGAATAGTTTGAACTATATGCTCATTTGTATAGAATACAATTAAAAAAGGTGAAAAATTTTCTTAATTTTCCGAATTATCAATTTACATTTGGAAAACCAAATACGACAGGTTGCGCATGTGGCGAAGGAACTGTTCTCTTCCGGGACACACGAGTTCACCCTAAGTTTTTTTGATGGGTTTATTGTTGCTCAGTCTTTATTTTTCTATGTAGTGTTTGAGGACTTGTTCGTCTTTTTTTATATTTTTTTATAAAATTTGATATGCTGTTGCTAGACATCTTTATTTCTAATAGATCTATATGAAGTAATTTCTAGCTTGCCTAATTATTTTTACCTCATGAGAACAAATTGATTCAAGGACAAATGTATCAATCTTTTTATATTTCGTAACTAACCTAAAGTTTTTTTAATTGTCGTTTTTAAGTAAGTTATATGGATAGTTCTAAGGAAACAATCTAGAGATAATTTTTAGCAAGTGTTCACCGATTTTACGTGCTTTATCTACAAATGAGCAATATTATAGAAATTAGTTTTCATATCTAACATATTTACAACAAACAAACAAAAAACAGTTCAAGGAATTATGATATTGATAATTACAAATATTTATGTCGAGTACACCCTATGTCATTCGCATTGAAATCAGTATCATACCAATTTTACTTACTGTTCTTTGACTAAACAAAACATTTACAACAATAACACCCAAACATGAAAGACTGTAATTAATGTTCGAACTGTAGAAATTTTTATAAAGAGTATTCATTTTCTATATACTTTTTGAAAGATTTGTTCTAATCTGTGTAATATAATTATAATTGATACAAATTAAATTGAGAAAAATTGCATATGACTATTTAACATAAGTGTTTCAGATATCAGCTTATTCTATATAATAAAACTTTTGAAGTATTTTACATTCTTATTTAAATATAATAGTGAACCAAACCAACACAGTTTTTATTTTTATATAACGAATGTTGATAGATTATGGATTGATCTTTAATGTCTAGTGTAACGCCTTATTTATTAGTCCTTGTGGAAGTGCATCATGCATCTAGTTTATCTGTTTCAGATACAAATCTTTCGTAAGGTGGGATACAAAATATGGCATCTGCCTTATATCTTTACTATCTATACTGCCAGGCTCAAATCTCATAACTTTGTTATTCACTTTGGTCAAAACTGTGTAAATATCATCATCCTTCTTCATTTCCTGTAGCTCTTTCATCAGTTGACATAAAAATGGCGATGATCCCTCTGTACTACCATATGATCTGTCACCTGTTGGAAAACATGTTCTAGTAAATATTTGAAAGCATACAAAATAGCTCCATTTACACTTTAATCATGAAATCGAAAAAGGACAAAATAAAGTTGAATTACTACTAAAAGCTTTAGACAAGACGAATCGAATGGATGAAATTAAGCATAGTGTTTGGCGTTATGGGACACCTTATGTCTCGATAAACAATAAGTCATTAAGAAATTAAACTTGGTTCGGTTCTTAGAAAAGGAACATTATATATATATATATATATATATATATAAAAACGACATAAAAAATCGAATTAAAATGGAAATGCGATTTTAAAATGTTCAAAATCTTTTGGTAAAAAGTGAAAGATATGAAAATCGATGCTTTCGTGAGGTTAATTTTCAAATTTTGATGACTTTTAATCGAATTTTGTTAAAAAGGACTTTCTCTTAATGTTTTGATTCGAGCGCCACTGACGAGTTCTGTGTAGACGATACGTGCGTAACAAATAATAAGTCAGGCATCTTTAATGCGATTTAAAAACTAGATTTTTTTAACCTAAAAATATTCACCTCAATCAATGTTTTTAGATTTCTGTTAGAAAATCAAATTGATCAAATCTATTAACAAGAACTTAAGTGTTTCAATTTGAAAGCAAATCTGATCAACCCGATAAACTAGATATATATAAGTTTTGAATAATTTCAGTAATGTTATTACTTGTAAAACTAAAACTATTTACCAGAATGTATTTACAGCATTTCAAGATCAACAGTTGTTGGAACAAAAATGCTACATTGAACAAACAGTTTAAATGGTATAATTATCATTTTGAATAATCTAAATTGTTGTAATTTTCCCAAATTATCATCAACCCTCGACCTTTTCTCTCATAATCCATCACTGAATGTTAAACAAAAATGTATAGATAAATATCGATTTCACCATTGTAGATCTAACCAGAGATAAAAAAAAATGTGGGGTATGAGCATAAACATGTATAATATTCAATTGAGAAGTAAATAATAATTTTATCGATTAAAATTATATCACAAACGCAATATAGAAATACAAACCTAATGACGTAGAATAAACTGCAAGGAAATCTGCTTCATTGGGAATACGGACAGTTTCTAAACCATAAGGAATATAATTTTCTTTCTTCTCTTCTTCAACTTTAAAGTTACCACCATATCTTAAGGCTGCTCTTCTAGAACACTGAATTAAATTGTATAAGTCAGTAAAATCAACTTTGTTGGTATATAAATAAAATATGAATATATAAAAATAAGGAGATGTGGAATGATTGCCAATGAGACAACTGTTCACCAAAGTTCAAATGAAGTGAATGTAAGCAATTATAGGCAACCGTACCAAAAAAACCCAACAATTTACGGAACACAAATATAACAGACATGAACCAAAGACAACCACTGAACTAGTTTTCAGTTTGAAAAGGCATAACTCAAATGATTGGTAACAATAAATAAAATAAAAGCTATCAACATAAAGACAAAAGTAAAAAAATACGGTAACCGATCTTTGGATACTGAAAGCTAGTTCAATGCCAACTACATCAAATAAATGAATTACGTTTTCTAAGTTTACAGTATCAATCAGTTCTTATCCAACTGATTTAGTGTAAGGACATCATAAATTGTCTTAGAAAAGCGTGAACTTATGCAATGCCAAAAATATAAATGAATAGTATCGACAGGATATAGGATCATAAGTTTTCATAACTGTATAGCAACACATATTTAGTAATGTTTTTATTTATCAAAACAAAATCTATGTAAATACCGATAACAAACATTTGTTTTTTACTACACTGTTTAATTTATTATGTTTATGAATAAGTTTATACGATGGATCTATGAATTCTTAAAATCCTGCAATTCACTCAGTTTTTGTATTTCTTTTTAAATTGAAGAATGAACCCTCGTTTTAATGAAAAATTGTAGACTAGTCACTTTATTTCTTTTAATGCATGTTTTCGGAAAACAGATAATCACAATGTCACAATCATAGCCATCAATAACAAATAAAATGTTAAAAAATCATTGCATTTAGGAAAGAGAGGCGAAGGATACCAAATGGACATTCAAACTCATAAGTCGAAAATAAACTGACAACGCCATGGCTAAAAACGAAAAAGACAAACAAAACAACAGTACACAAAACACACCATAGAAAACAAAAGACTGAGCAACACGAGCCCCACCAAAAACTGGGGGTGGTCTCAAGTGCTCCGGAAGGGTAGGCAGATCCTGCTCCACATGTGGCACCCGTCGTGTTGCTCATGTGAGTACAAACCCAGTGATAGTCTAATTCGGTAGGTCACATTCGGGGAAAAGGGGACGGGATTGTAATTTCGACAATTGGAACATATTCGTTGTCACCTGTGAAACGAATATTCCATAACAGCTAACCAACTCGTGATGGCGTCCGTAAAATTTACAAAGGGACGATTTCAACGTCACCGCTTCGTTTAATAGCTTACTTGTGAGCAGCAACCCTCTATCAAGGAAATCATGATAGAAAATACAAGCCCTGGAATATCGTATCAATTGGGAGATATATACTCCGTATGCAGGCTCTGCTGGAATGTTGCTACATAGAAATGGAAAGTTCACAATTGGGAAGCTGAAATCATCTCTTTTGTCGTAAAGTTTTGTTTTCAACCGACCATCATTGTCAATTTCTAGATGTAAGGCAAGATATGAGGCAGACTTAACTGTATCTGTTGTATCCTTTATGTCAAGTTCGATGGGATAGATGCGTTCAACATAGTCACCAAATTATTTAGTGAGAGAACATCATCTATATAGCGGAAAGTGAAATTGGAAAATTGCATATCAAAGAAATTCAAATAGATAAAAAAATCTCCGTCTTTCGTCAACTGAATAGGAAAGATAATAGCAAGATTATTGAAATGAAAATTGCACTAGGCAACCCTTCAACCAGTCCTCGTCAGTGTCATATAATTTCATTTTTTTCAAAATAAATCAGCATTGATCAAGAGTTAAAAATACTATACATATGTTAGAACATAGAAATGACACAAAACAAACCAAACATTTACAGCTAATGTTTTTTTTTTTTTTGGGGGGGGGGGGGGGGGGGGGGGGGGGGCAGGAAACATTTCATTTAAAAAATAAGTCTTCAAATAAAATGTAAAAGCTGTTTACGAATATATCTAGCTTGTGATACTATTAAATAATATAAAAGAAATCATACTTTAAATAAAGCCATCATAGATACCAGGCTTAGTAAGCAAACTTTAACTGGGCAAAATCTAAAAGCAGTTTATATAACCTGGAAAATAAAGATTTTTGGCTGTTGAATAAGTTCTGGGCAGTTCTGCGAATTGAAATAATCCATCACTGCCTTAATCTTTACAGGTGTATCTGTCATATACACACTGTCCTCATCACCATGTGACAACACAGCTACAATCAGGCAGTCTGTTTTTTGTAATTCCTCCTTGTCACCTTTAACTACAAAGTTAAGCATAAATACTCGTCTTAGCTTTTATGCAAAGTCTATAATTTTCATAAATCTATGAGGAACCTTTTTAAAAGAAGAACATATAGAATACTTTCAGCAGGACATGGTAAATGATTACAAACGAAAACCGATTGGGAAGATTAAAGTACTAGCTGTCTGATAAAGTTGACGTTTGAGCATTTCTTACCTCTTTTTAGAAATCAGCATCACGTCTACATTTGACAATTGTTTCAAATATTTTATTATACAGTTATTTTTTCTATGATAATTGGTTCATTGCAGAGAGGGAGTTTTTTTTTATTTTATAAAATCGACTATTGAAGCATGTCCATGGTCATCTGTGACACAGATATTCCACAACAGTCAACCAAATCATGACGAGGGTCATAAAACTGTTGAAGGGATGACGTCAGCTTTACAATTAGGACCCTTTGATTCCTTTTTGATGATATCATGATAGGACACACGAGTTTTTTTTAATATCCGTTTCAACTTGGAGATAAATATTTTATAAGTAGACATGCTTGAATGTTGCTACATAGAAATGAAAAGTTCACAATTGGAAAGCTGAAATTATCTCTTTGATCGTAGTAAAGTTTCGATATCAACCGACCCCCATTATCAATTTCTAGATGTGTGTCTACATAAGATACAGACTTAATTGGATCTGTAATATCCTGATTTCAAGTTCAATGGAATACATTAACACAGTCACATGGTTTACAGTTTTAGAATGAGAAAGATTAAAAGAAATGAAAATAGGATCGAAAGCAATGTCTGGCCGTCTCGATATATATTTATAACCCTGGTCAGGTTTATAGCCTACTAGTTCAGGATCAAGGGGAAACTAAAACTGCCATGATTGCTTTCATGTATTTGATCAAATTGTGTCGTTCAGTTTCAAAGAAGGAGTAATTCATCAATTTAATTGAAAACAAATATTTCTGATAGCTTTGTTTTTGCCCGGTGTAAACAAAATGTATTTTTGTTTTACCATTTCTAAATTTAAAATGGAAAGGTTGTTTCAGACTTTCCTGAAAATTTCTATGTAAAATAATGTTTTGGGAAGTACGTTGCATTTTTCACACAATTATACTTAGATATAAGAAGATGTGGTATGAGTGCCAATGAGACAACTCTCCATCCAAGTCACAATTTGTAAAAATAAACCATTATAGGTCAAAGTACGGCCTTCAACACGGAGCCTTGGCTCACACCGAACAGCAAGCTATAAAAGGCCCCAAAAATGACTAGTGTAAAACCATTCAAACAGGAAAACCAACGGTCTCATCTATATGAAAAACGAGAAACACTTATGAACCACATTAACAAACGACAACCACTGAACATCAGGTTCCTGACATAGGACAGGTGCAAACAAATGCAGCGGGTTTAAACATTTTAATAGGCGCCAACCTTCACCCTACCTGAAACAATAGTGTAACATCAAAACATAGAAAGACACACTATAAAATATCAATTTAAATGGCTTAACTCAATCAAAAGACATATTAACAAAAACAAGTGAACATACACTGAACGAATAAATTTGATCTGTAAGACAATGTAAATACAAATTTAATAAAACAAGGAGGTTAGATGTAAAACAATATCAGAAAGACAACCATAACCTTGGACAAAATGCCACCATTAAAATAACGTACACAGGTAAATAAAAATAATTTTATACAAAACATCATCATATCTTCACGTGTAAAGAAATAATGACAGCTGCATGATTTCGGTATGAAGGATTCATAGACAGAAAGTGTTAACATTAACGCTCATGCTGCCGGTAGTTTTACATGGTGGCATTTCATGTGCCAGAAAATACGACAGCTGGAAGTAGGTGACGTCACATGCCCAACAATGACGTCATTCGATATATGACGTCACATGCCAAAACAATGACGTCATTCGATATATGACGTCACATGCCCAACAATGACGTCATTCGATATATGACGTCACGTCCTAATGACGTTACATTGGTATACCTATTGAAGAACTTATTACACTGTTTAATCAAAGGTATTTTATTTGAAAGAGATACAGCAATGATGAAAACTTTGCATAAATTAAAACATGGACATATGTGTCCCTCCGGCACAGCTGGTGTGGACACATGTGTCCCTTCGGCAGCAAGAGGGTTAAATGACTTATTGCACTGCATGACGGGATTGAGTGGGCATTGATGAAGAGGCTATTTTCATAGGGTTCAGTAGAATCTGAATGATATAGATGCCTTCATGTATGTCAACTAAATAGTAGGAATACATTTGTTTGTACAGTTTCCCAAAAATCTGTTGACATTTCATAGTGAAAATTCTTCAGATAAAATGAAAATTACTGGTATAAATACAATCTTATCAATTCAAATGATGAAATTAGAAAGTATATTGCGTTTTGGGTTCTAGAGAAATTCGAAAATTAGTTTAAAGACAATAAGAAAAGCAAGAATGGCATCAGCTTACATAATGGTTCGTCTGATTTATTTTTTTTATTATATAAAATAAAGTTTCTTTTTAAAGACGAAACAGACTATTGTTTATGCGCATTAGCTAACGCATCTTGATGGTGACTTGGAAGCTTTATGACGTTGTCCACCGTTTTGTCTAAACCGGCAGATAAGAACGTCCCATTTCGCGTATTTCACGGATTTCAATATGAAGTACGCGTCAAAATACGTTTTATCAAGAAAACTGGGATTGAGCACCGCAAAAAGCTAGTAAAAATTAAACAAAAGTGAACACAAACGATTCGTTACTACCTTAAACCTTGACATTTAACGTTCAATTTTTTTACGGCTCACAATTGAGCTTTTAAAAATTTAGGCAGATAGAAAATAATCCTCGTATTTTCGATCTTCATGTACTGGCACCAATTTTGACTTTGACTTTTACTTATTCTCTGGATGGAGTAGTTTATCTGATTCCCGACCGTAAAGCATTGTCCGATCTTTTTTTTATACTGCTAAATTGACAAAACTTTTAAAAAGAAAAAGGTGCATGGTATTTTGTCATTTGTTTCATTTAAAATTGTCTGAAGATAAAAAAGAATAATAATTTACTTGCTCTCTCTAAAGCTTAAGAAAAAAATGTTTTAAAAAAATAAACACTTAAATGTGAATTAAAATAAAAATCTAATCTTATATTAACTTATTAGAAAAATAATTGTTCCGGCAATAAAATCCAACATTACATTTCGCACTTTCAAAAAGCTACAACGACCGAAGAGATTGACAACAATTTTCGATTTTCAGTGACGGCAATTGTATGAGTTGTCTTTTTTTCAATTTAAAAAAAAAGACAATTTAGATTCATAACGATTCTATTGTTTAACATATATACTGTTTTGAGACTTTATAGTTTTCAACGGAAAATTATAACGTACAGTCCAAATGAAAATTGTTAAATTCTAAACTAGACGTCTTTTCCGGCTTATTTGTAATTTGTATTTACTGTCTCATTTATTCCAGACCCGTGAAAGAGTGATAACCGAGATCGTATATTATAGTTTGTCAAATACATGTAACAATTTAGATTCTACCTATCATTTCAAGTTCCTTAGATTTTAAATATTCAGAAATAATGAATCTACAAATTAGATGGAATAGTATTCATACGGACGACTTAATCGGAACGTTTTATGGTATACCGTAGTCCGTCCGTGCTTCTGTCCGTCCGTCAACACTTCAGTGGCGAAGGAGTAGACTGAAAAGTTGGCTGAATGAGATATGAAAAATTCGGATACGTAAATGTGATCTGTTGTATTACCGGTTGCTATTATTGAACATTTGAATGTGTGTTTCAAACGTTAAATTTGCAATATTTGCGAAAATTACGGGAAACTTCTGCTATGACGTCAGAATCAGTGTTCAAAAGAAAGACAGCTCTTTGTTTTTTTTTTAAACGAATTTGAAATTTTTTTTGGAAGGTCGGTGACATATACTTTTTGGGGCTTTATTTGAAAGAGTACAGAAAGCTCTTTCTTTCTTAAAATTTTTATGAAGAAATCACTGGTAGATATTTTTAATACTGGACACGGTTTTCATTCTTACGAGTTGAGCAACCTCTACAGTGACGAAACGAAGTCGGTGCCCCCCCCCAATTTTTTTTTTCATATTTTATTCCAAAAATCATGAAATACCTTTACACAAAATTTTAAGAACAAAATCACTGGTAGAAATTAATAGGCTTTTTGGTCTACAGATTACTTACAATTTCATTGCAAGCAATTTATTTAGTATCAGAAAAAAGAAAATATGATTCCCTTTAGGAATAAATAAATAGAAACCATTTGAAGCATCTTTGGAAGGTTTCTGCCTACCCCATGCACACAAAGCAATGAGTCTTTATTAAAGTTCTCCTGATCATCAATTTATTATGTTTTAAGAGATTTGGCTATGTATCTCCATCTGTTCATAGATGAAGGGATTTAAAATTTGGAACTGACCATCGGAATCAGAATCGGACAGCCCAAGTAAATTGTAACAAAATGGGGATTTTAAATACATTATAAAAGATCTTTCGATTTCTTTTGCCGTATTTCTTTCACATTATCGGATAAGAAGATAAGAATTGGATAACCAAGGAGATGACTAATGCCAATAAGTAGTAATAACAGACATTAGTCTAGTTAGTAAGGCAAAAATCTATGACTATGATGTTGGACCCATGCATTCCATGTCTCAAGATAAAGATTATAATTATACTGAAAAGAAACATAAGATACAAATATTTTTTTCTTACTTTCTTGAAATTTCTCTTCCAAATCATCCTTAGTGGCATCAGACAAAAGTTCACTTTCGAAACCAAGTTCCATGAATCTTTGCAGTAGAGATGCAGCATCCCCGTCACCTCCTCTACGATCATATACGCCTAATTTGGAATCAAATTCTGTGTTATTGATCACGACTGCTCTCCCAGTTCTTATAGTATAACTTGTTTTGTCCAAATGGCTTTTGTTTATGATACCTTGTCCTGTATTACTATAACAGAAAAATAATAAAAAACTGGTAAAAGACTAATTAAAGGTTTCATTACAAATGTTTGATGTTGCATATTACTATAGAACAAAACCCTTAATACTTTGAACATTGATAATTAATTCTAATTTATTTATTTTCATTTTGTTTAATTATTGTCCTTATCGGGACCTCTGTCTGTACAATAACCGAAAGCGAATGAGCACGCATAGTCAGCCGTTTTGATGCTTCGGAGCACATCTTGGAGATAAATCTGCATTCTTTAACTTGTCAAGGCAGATTGTATGAAATTGTTAACCGCTTTATCAGTATATTCTCTAGTATATGTACCGTCCCGTCTCCTTGGTAATTGACGATGTTGTTAATGTGTCTTGGTCATTTGCATCTAGTTTGCCTCGATTTGCCATTTCTAAAAATAAAAAAAATATAAACTAAATGTAACGTTAAATGAAAGTACCTGCAGCGATCAACGTTGAGATTGATACAATTATCTCTGGGGATTTCAATACAGAACTTTATTGGTTTACTCTTAAATCCGACAAAGCTTTCTTTAAAAAAACGAGTTCAATTTTCTCTTTTGCAAATCCACAAAGGTTAAAGTGATTCAAAACATTTCCCCTTGAGGAGTATTCTGTTAAATGGAATTTTGGTAGAATCTAATTCATGTTGCATTTCATCATTTTGTATCAGAATTGTTTTAAAATATTAATGTAACAATGAAAAAATATTTTCTCAAAAGAATTCAAGAATATCACAGCATAATGAAGTACATGTATATAGCTATATACAAAATGTTAAGTAGATTGGTTACATGGAAATCTAATCAAACCTGCCTATTAGCATCTTTTTGAAAACAAACATTATGAGAAAAAAGGCTAAAATAACAGAACAAAACGAGTAAACATTTCCATAATGTATAAAAATTATCAAACAAAGACGGAATTTATATAACTTGAAATATGTTGTATAGATATCATAAGCAGCGAAAAAATATCTAAAAAAAATAATATGAAAAAGTTTGTTCATGCTTGTTCATACACAATCGGGGCAATTGGGTTCTTTTTTAGAGGGTTTGAGGTTGAGGGTGAAACTTGTTATTTCATTATTCGAACGCTTTATGATGTAATTCAGGTGATTATTGTACAATTACTGCCCCAGGTATTCCGAAAAATCGTATGAATCAAGTATTGTTTTCATCTCCGATTTCTGGTAAACAAGTGAAACACGTAAGAAATGTACTATCGAGATTAAATTATGGGTAATTATTTTTATTTTACATTGGTTGCAATGAAAAACCTCGAAGCAGTATAGATAAAAGAAACCAGGTTATGCATTACCACCTCCCTTTCAAAACTTGTGGAAAATATACACATAGTATCTATATAAAATTTGTCTCAAAAGAATACAAAAACTAAGATAGAAAAAAAGTAAATTCAAAATAAGTATAATTCGCAAAGCAACCACGAGATTTCAACGTTTGTTTTCAGAAATAAAATAATGTTCATTTAGATTCAGCATCAGATTGAAATTTTCTAAAGAATAAAATAATAATTATACGAAAACTTGTGAATATCATTCTTAATAGAACATTAACTCTTTTTTGTAAGCGCATAAACAATAAGATACTTCCCCAAAAAATTATTTACAATTTTTAGTGAAAAAGCATTACTAGTATATGGTAAAAAATATAGTGCAGAAATATATGTGTGTAATTTAAGTGTTAGTTTAAAAAAATTTTATTCAACATATTCTGACCATAACTACATTCAAGTTACTTTTATTAAAATTTGTTTTACTTGAAACTCAAAGAAAACAATAACCGCGTTTACAAATTATAGGAATTTTTGGATACTCAAGTTTAACAAATACAACTTCACTTCGAAAGTTAAATGAACATCATCACGCAATAGAATATCTGTGTCACATATTTACAGTGATATGTATATTTGTAGAGGAAACTCGCACACAGCGTAAAAAATATAAGCCTGATAGCATTGATGATATTTTTCCGAGCTGTCGTAACCATAATCCCGTCCTCTTTTCTTTAAATGTGACATGACCGTATGATATTTATAACCGACATTAATTGTCGAAATCCGGATATGGTGTACTAATTTTTGCACCTTTTGTTTGCGGTATACCATCTTTTTCGCAAGTTTATTGTTTTCTGTTTGGTATTAAATTAATAGTTAAGATCCATTTTGTTACATCTGGTGATCCGTTTATTTGGCAATCGCCAATGACAGTCAGCAGGGTTTAAGAACATCCGTTGTTCGACCTGCTAGTCAAATGCGTTTTGTTAAAATATACTTTTTCACTTTTTTGGTCTTTTGGAAAATGTTGTTTGTGCTGTATTTAGACCCCTCTACCAAGAAATTTGTTTTGCATGCACATGTATCACAATTGCGGTTTTTATCCAACGCAATCATAGGTTTGAACGTTGTTTTCAATTTAGACTTGTTTATAACCGAATTTGTATATACATGAGCAACACGACGGATGCACAACTTGGAGCATGATCTATTTTCTCTCCTGACGCATCTGAGATCATCACATCACATGCGTTCGGTTTGGTTTTTCTTGCTAAGTCTCAAGTTTTCTATGTTGTGTTTTGTAGACTGTTGTTGGTCTTTTCGTCGTTTTTTGTTTTGTTTTTGCGATCGTATTGCTAATTTAACTTTGACTTATGAGTTTGAATGTCCCTTTTGTATCTTCCGCCTCTTTTTTTTATATCATGTGGGGTTATTTTACTAAAAAGTTAAGAAAATAAAGTTGCAATTTATTTAATTATCATACTCATGTGTATGCCGGCAATATTTCAAACTGTTTTTTTTTCAATGAAAAAGAAATCATCTAATAAAAGGATGAATTCCACGTGTGATATACATACAATGTTGTATTTAAAATTAAATTATCATGCGGAATTGTAATTTAAACACTGCTAAAAAGAGGGGGACGATATCAAGGGTACAAGGGGGAGGAAAAGGCATGATAAGAGCCATTATTTTGCCCCTGAAATTGCAAAGATAAAATGTGGACTTGTTCAATCCTTTCAAAGTTATGTTAATTTTGTTGATGAATATACCAGCTGTTTTAATCTAGAAATTTTATTGCAGAAAAGTCGCATGGGATATCGCTATATGTATTAAACATTTGCGATATTTACCAAAAATGTCTACTTCACGCAAAGGTTTTGGTCAGAATATATGTCTGAGCAAGAGTTTGATTCAAAAAGATAATTAACACACATTAACATCTTTGTAAAATATTTGTTTGTGTGCAATATATCTTTTTAAGTAAAGGTCTTGCTCATATCTCATTATTAGTGACAAGATCTGCTTTGTACGTTTTTAATAAATTGCACTAAATTTAAGAAGTTTGAAGCCCCTAATAACAATATGTAAGATTTAAACTTTAAGTACGGTCTTATGACCATCTGCAGGATGTTTCTAGTAGATTTTAAAAAATTTAGTTCAAGGTGACAAAACGTGGCCTTATCACACCTTCTCCTTTCTTATTTGCAACTAGCCTTTATCACACATTCAAGGGGTCAAATGATTTTCTCACCTTTCAGGTTAAAAAACAGTTCCTTTGTAAGATGCGAACTGAAACAAGGCATCTGAGTAACAATGCCACTCATTTTAGGGCTTGGTTTATATTCCAATCCGACTTTTTTGTTAACCCTGGTCAAGACTTTGTAGAAATTGTCTTCTTTTGAAATGTTCAGGAGCTCTTCTGACAAGTGATGCACAAAAGGGGACACCATATCTGTGGTTCGGAAAGATGTATAGCCTGTAAAAAGAAAACTGTGTTCCAGCTGAATTTATACTGGAAAGAAACCAGTCATGTATCTTAATGTTTGTCTTGTTGATCCCGAATTATAAAATATTTAGTATGGAAATTCCAACAACATTGTATGATATATATAATATATCTATTTTTTAATAGAACGAACTGATTTATTGTTTTATTTAATTCACATATGTTAAAGTAAATTTGTATGATGAGGGATTATGTATATCACTTGTGTGTTTAGGGGCTATATATAATCACTAAAATGTTCATGAATTGTTAATAGCAAATATGTCAGGGATTAAGCATAATAACTGGAGAGGTGAGACTTTTTTTTTAGAAAATGGATAAAAGTTTAATAATGTATTCTATAAAATCTAATAAAACATCTTTACAGAAAAAAATATTAAAATGTTAAATATTCTTACAAAAATTATATTATAGTGTTACTAACTTGCTGATTCTGTATTGGCCTATGTATTGATTCAAGGTCTGCTGTATTGATCCCGAGGGCCGTAGGACCAAGGGCCAATACAGCTGACCGAGAATCAATACATGGCCAATACAGAATCAGCAAGTTCGTAACACTTTTATTAAATAATCAAAACAATTTATATGGCTTGTCCGTATGGCCACTGCTGGTCTTTATGGCCAGTCCGAATTGTAGGAAGTAGATACAGGTGGTCATTTGACAGGAAATAGATACACCTGGTCCGTATGGAAAACTTATTAACCGGGCCAAACAGCCATATCAAACGTATGGTTAATTTGAGATGATCTTTTGAAGTCCATATTAACCATGCTGATTTTAGCATATTAGGGCCAATTTAAACATATTATTTAAGAATTTTTTTAATTAATCTAAATTTGGATGACATTTGCTATTGCACATTTGTACTGATTTTAAACATGCTCACATCTATTTGATTCACATCAGTCTTTGCCACAACATCCACATTTAAAAAATAACATTGTCCTTCACATATTGATTTTGATTTTGATGCACGTCGAAGACAAATACAGTTTTCAGTAGAACATCTACTATGTCAAGGTGCCAAAAAAAGTGAATCGGCTACCACAAATCAATACTATGAGTAGGATCCGCCAACATTCCATGTTTCGTAGACAGGCGATATCCATTTTCAATCTTTTCATGAACGATGGCCATTACGTTTTTGGGTTACCCTTTTCGTAACTAACGTGTGGAATCCGTATCAACATATCATAGCCAATATCGGCTAGTCCAAACTTTTGTTTGAACTGTCAATCATGCTTTTTGTCTCTTTTTCTGTTCATTTAGTTGTACAAGCTCTCTTTGTTTGGATTCCATGTAAATTAGAACACAGAATCATTAAACATATATTCCATAACCTTCATCGCCCATTGTTGTTAAATGAAGTGGATGTAAGCAATTATAGGCAACCGTATAGCCTTCAACAATGAATAAAACTCATACCGTATAGTCGGCTATAAAAGGCCCCGATAATATGAAACAATTCAATTGAGAAAACTAACGACCAAATTTACAAAAAACAATTTACGAAAAACCAAATATGACAGACATTAACCAACGACAACCACTGAACTACAGGCTCCTGACTTGGGACAGGCACATAAAGAATTTGGCGGGGTTAAACATGTTTGTGAGCAGTCAATCCTTCCCTAACCTGGGACAGTGGTGTTACAGCACAACATAAAAACAAAGTTTAAAAATCAGATGAAAAGGGCTTAACTCATCAGTCCCTAACATCAAAAAAGACACAAAGTACAGATCTGAGAGTACTCGCAGTTACTGACACCTAGTTTAAAGCCAATAACAACTAATAAAAAAATCATGTATCTAAGACTAAAATATCAATCAGTACATATCCAATATCCAATGGATTTAGTGTTATGACGTCATAACCAGTCAGAGAAAAACATGACCTTGCGCAATGCAAAAATATAGATATCGAAAGATTGTAGTACCGTGAAAGTGCATATATGTATAACTATACGATTTAGTGTAGTTTTAATTTACTGACAACAAAATCAATATTTATACCAATAAAAATAACATTCAAAGATCTAACTACACTGTTGAATTGGTAACCTTTTCGAATAAGTGTCTTTAAATAATTGACAGGCATAGCAAACGAGTTGGGATATATAAACACCGTAAGACGGTGACAAAGGAACATCAGCGTCCAAAAAAGGAAAATTAACATAAGGGAAAGAAAAATCATCCCTTTTGTCGTAAATTTTTGTGTAAAGTTTCTGGTGTAATTCTGAAATATCAAAATCAAGGAAATGACAGTTATTGCTGCTATTATTTGAATTATTTAAAGTGAGTTCCTTTGGGTAAATTTCGGTAGTATAATTAGAGAATTCTTGATTATTTAACAAACAAATATCATCAAGATAACAGTAAGGTAGTTGAGTTATCAATTTAATGGAATTTAGACGGGTCATTAGTGAGTTATGCCATAAACTGCTAATCATAACAGTACAGGAACAAGTCTGCTATTAAAGGGGAACAATTGGTGCCCATAGGAATACCTACAGCCTGTCCTGTCGATAAACTTTATTGCCGAAACGTACATAAATGTTGTCAAGGAGAACATTTACGGCTTTAATAATCTCATCACACCTCCAGTAAATATATATCCAGAATATTAACCTTTCTCAATTGTTGAATATTCATTTCACGCTGGTTTTCAGTAAACAATACATGTACAGTTGTCACTATCAATGGGAATATTGGAATTTTTATTTCAATTTTGATTTAATATTTGTTTATGAGTTAATGTGATTCAACATAGCTAAAAACATATCACCAACATACTGTTGATTTAAAATTTGACAAAAGGATATATAGGGAATGAAAACTGTTCATTGAACTTTCAAAGGATGAGAAAAACAGATGATTTATTTGTCTATTCTTTATTTTTGTCCATTACACTACGATCTTTATATTATTGATAATCCCTGAATTCATCCCAGGAAATTTGTAAAATAATTAGTAAAATTTTCAGTGATTATGTAAAATCTCTGGTCATTTTGAGGGATTATATATAGTAACTAATGATTTAAATGATTATGAATAATCCTGAAAAATCAGGGAGTCTACATAATCGCTGATTATACCAAATCACTGTAACATATATAACATATATAATTATTATAATTGTTGAAATATACAAAATCATCAGACATTAATATAGTATTATGAGCTGTCTGAATATCCTTCAAATATATAAGCTACTACTTCTCAATCGAAATCAATGCCTTGAATTCAATCACCTTTTAACTTTAGATTTTATTGTATGATATACTGTAACAAAGATTTGCACCTTTTCATGTTACATATCAACTTTGTCATTTTCAATATGGATTTATGGGATTTAAATATCATTTCACTGCTATAGCCACATATAATAAGTTCAAAAATGAAAATAGCACGCAAGGTGTTAAAGTCACTTTGCATACAAATCACCATCGATTGTTTATACATGACATCATTAAATGGTAACAAAGCAACTTTTCAAATCCCCTTTTTTCAATAAAGTTATCACAACCTTGCCTTTAATGTGGATCATTATTACCATTAAACTATAACAGCTTCATTGTCATTGTTAAAACTTTGTTGCTAAAGGTAATTGATCTAAAATTGATAGCGGTTTATCATCATACGTAGTATGTATCTCCCTGTTGATACGATAAAATAGGGTTTGAATTTCCTATCATGACTTCCTTGATAGAGGGTTGTTGCTCACAAGGAAGCTATTTAACAAATAGTTCCAAGTGGTTAAGTTGAAATCATCCCTTCCTAAAATTTATGGACGCCATTACGAGTTGGTTGACCATTATGGAATATCTGTTTCACAGATGACAACGGACATGTTCCAATCATCGTAATTACAGTGTTTAGTTTTCTATGTTGTGTTTTGTGTACTGTTGTGTGTCTGTTGGTCTTTTTCTTTTTTAGCCATGGCGTTGTCAGTTTATTTTCGACTTATGAGTTTGAATGTCCCTTTGCTATCTTTCGCCTCTCTTTTTTGTTACACCTACATACAGTGATGTCAAACGAAGTCGAAGCTAGAAAAGCAACACGTTTAAATTACAGTCAAATCTAAAATAGCAGTCCTTTTGTAACTGCTTTATTTACTGGTTGACAATGAAACTTAGTCATTACATTTATGTTAAAACATCCTTACAAATACTAAGGATTTTCTAACCCCTCTTCCCCTCGGGCTAGATTATTATAGTTGTATTTGACAAAACCTTTTGGAATTTTGGGTCCGCAATGCTCTTCAACTTTGTACTTTATTTTGCCTTTTAAACTTTTTGATGAGAGCATCACTGATGAGTCTTGTGTGGAGGAAATGCGCGTCTGGTGTACAAAATGTTAATCCTGGTATCTATGATGAGTTTATTTACTACCACTGGGTCAATGCCACTGCTGGTGTAGGTTTACCACTAGAGGGTATCACCATTCCACTACACAGCACATCTGTGTTGACACGGTCATTCTATTAATATATTAACTCTTAAAAAAACTTTGAATTTTTCGAAATACTAAGGATTCAATCCAAGGAATAGATTACCTAAGTTGTATTTGACAAATTTTTCGGAATTTGGATCCTCAATATTCTTCAACATCGTACTTTATTTGGCCTTTTAACTTTTTTTATGAGAGTTTTACTGATGAATCTTATGTTGACGAAACGCTCGTCTGGCGTACAAAATGTTAATCTTGGTAATTATGATGAGTTTATTTAGATACTTGCAAGCATGTATAGTGAATGTAGAAGATCAATAAAAAATGCCAGACCATGAATCCAGGACGATTATAATCAAGAGCAAATGATTTTCTAATGATAACCCCACACAAATGGAATAACCAACATATAGTTCATTTTCTTTAAATTTAAATTAAGGAAATTCTGGTTAACTGCACTCACCAACGGAAGTAGAATACACTGCAAGGAAATCCGCTTCATTTGGAATACGGATTGGGTCTCCGTGTGTCTTGTCATATTCACGATAAAAACCACCAGCATCTGCTTGGTTTGGCTCAATCTTGTATATTTCTTTATCTGTTACAACTTCCATTTCTAAACCACCTCCTAAACCTGTACCTCTACAGGCCTAAAATTATACTTCTATACATTCACAAATACACTTTACAGGAATTAAAATCAACGATGTTGAATCAATTAATTCGCTGCAGCAAATTAAAGTTGACACATGCTATATCAGGGTAAATAAGAAATATCGTATTTCAGGTAATTATGTATCGGGTTTTGTTTGAGGTTTGAACCTCATATTAGGCGGTCAAATCTTAGTTGTGTTCAGTATTCCCGATTCATAGTCTTGCATTGTGCATTTGAACAATCACTGAAATGTTCAAAGAATGATAATTTCGCCTTTTTTACGGCGAAAGTACTTACAATTAGGCCAGTTTTCACAAGTTTTCCAAATTACGAAATTTTATTAAAAATGTTTAAGAAACAGCTTATAACTTGCTACTACAACCTTTGGGAATAATTTAGTGCTCTGCAACTTCGTATATTTTTTTTTGCAATTTAGCTGCATCCATTCGAGTGTAATTAATTAATCTTATTTAGACGAAACGCGAGTCTGATGTATTAAAATAAAGCTAGTTTAGACATTCGTTTCTTAGATTTGGCCATTGTTAAATTCAGTTGAAGTTAAGTTGACTTTAGACAGATTTGACTATTACATATATTGAGATCATCGTAGCTTTGGAAGTATTTTCACATCGCCGGCTTTTGAATATTTGATTACGAGTCTACCTGATAAAAGCAAATGCTTATAAACCTTTGGACTCACCAAAGGTTATGAAGTTGTTATTTTTATTTTCTAGAACTGGATTATTACGGCTGTTTGTGGATTGTAAGGATGTGTAAGTCTCATAGGGTACCAACATACGCTTAGTAGTCAGTACTTAACCACTTCTAGGATCAATCACATGCATGCTTTAAATTTGCCTTTAATGAATTAACTAAATAGTAATTAACTAAGGTTGAACTGCCTCGGTCAAATTTGATCGTATATGATTTTAGTAAATCTGTTCAGTTTTCTTTTTGTCAAATAGCTCTTCCATTTTTACAAATCCCTGAATTTTAACATTTTGATTATGAGCGTGCCTTATGAAAGTTAATCCAATTAGGCGCATCGGACGCATTATATTTATAAAGTTTGATTTACATTACAACCACTGGTTGTGTGCCACTGATGAAGGACATTACGTCCATGATACTTTCGATACCACTGCTGTTGAACTATCAGACCCCGAGTATATTAATAGCTCAGTAGTCAGTGCTTTTATATCGACAAGATTGATAACATTCCTTGTTTATATTGGCGTTTTTAAATTGAGAAATTATTAATTACTAAGGTTCCAACTCCCTCAGTTAAAGTTCACCTTGAATGGATTTGGCTATATTTTTAAGCTCCATTTTGGTCATATAGCTCTTTACTCATTTTGGTACATGTGCATCATTGTTTTTCAAATATTCGGCTTTGAGCTTTGCTAATGAATCCAGAAATACGTTTAGAAAGCATAACAGTTAAAAAGTGTTGCCTTTTCCATTTTTGACAGGCCCAGTAGTCATCACATATATTCTGAAGTATCATTGATGCGATTCTTTTCTTGAAATTTTCTCTTAATAAATGTTATAATCATTCGAAACACTTGTGTCGTCCTACCACACCAAAACATAAATCGCCAAAGCAAAATAAAATAAAATCACATAACTTTTGGTTTTCAATGCTTTTCAACTGTAATTAATTTAGTTGTAGTGCCAGTGATGATACCGTCTCACAAAGACGAAATACGCGTCTTGTGCATTAAATTGAAGTGCTGTATCTTCGACTTATAACATTTGTTTAGGAAATTATAACGTTTATATTTTTGGCTATCAAAACAATTGTCTGATTTTGTTTTTATTCAATTATTTTTTACTGTAGCTTTTTTGCAAACTGCTAACTCACTTATTAAACGATTTATATAGTGTTAAGCCGAAAGTGGACTATACGCAACATTGGGTGTTACACATCAAATTCAATTGTGAAAATATACAACAGACTAGAATAATTCTTAAATTAAAGTAATGGTTGTTTCCTAACCTTCAATACTTTTTACGATAAAATTCCTACAAACAAAACTATCATATCAAAGATTACGCTTGTACTTGAATGTTCCCTTTAACAGGGAAAAAATCTAAAGATACAATCGGTGCTTTTTAAAGCTTACTATGCGGTATGGGTTTTGCTCATCGTCGAAGGCCGATCGATGACCTATAGAAGTTAACTTCTATTTCATTTGGTATCTGGTGGAGAGTTGTCTCTTTGACAATCATACCAAATTTATTTTCTTATCTTAAAATTAAATTATCTAACCTGTAATATAAAAATTTTTGGCTTCATCTGAAGTTCTTTACAATTCTCTGCATTGAAGTAATCCATAACATTTTTCGTCTTAATAGACATATCTGTCATAAACACACTCTCTTCAGTACCATGGGTCATCATAACAATAATGAGGCAGTCTGTTTCCTCCAAACTTTTCTTGTCTTCTTTAACTTCAAACAAATACGGAGTGTGGTTAACATTGTATTTTGAAAATATGACTATTATAAACACATTTTATTACAAAAATGTAATGTACATTAAATGACGAAGTGTGAATAACAAATCATCAATGTTATACGTGACATTGCACCTCTTCTGGTGCACATGAGATCAGCTCAAGTTTTTGGGTATTGTTCGTGTTGATTTAGTTTTCGGTAAAGTGTTTTGTGAACTTATTCGTCTTTTTCGTCGTCTTTCTTTTTCTGCCATGACGTTATCAGTTCTTCTTGGCTTATGAGTCTTGAAGATCCCCTTATGAAGGTTTATCCAGAGAAGCGCTTCGGGCGCACGGAATTAATAAAGTGTTATTTTCATAAGTATCTTCCGTCTCTTAAATTTTAATAATTTAACTAGGTTTTGCAAGTTTAATGACCAAATAATGGCTCTTTCCTTTGAAAAGTTATCAGTTAAAACTATGAATCGTTGTCATGTTTCCTAACTGATCGAAAAATAATGGTATATTTTCAACAGTATGTCCCCAATATATTCTTTCTAGCAAAGCTTGTTCTAAACATTTATGTGATTTCAGATAAAAGAATCAAACTTTATAAAGTGTTATTTCCATTTTAACGTGATTTGCAATACGGTTTAGAAGGACCCTATGGAACATTATAGCTACTATGTATGGCATGCTATCAACTTGAATTCAGTACTTCTTGTTTATCACAAGTCAGGTTAATATTAAAACAAAATTGATGAAAGGGAAAGACATTAAAAAATTTAACAATAAGAATAAAACAATTCCTGTGGTTTTGATGCTGTTTACCAAAAAAATAAATCTAAAATTGGTAGGCCTAGCAGTTTCGAAAAAAAAAAATAAAAAAAAGTGATTTCTTATATGATCAATGGAACTGGAAGGCATCACTGGCACCGTGTACATGACTTGAGATTTGGTCTGACACAATTTTTTGGTAGGATTTCTTGATCTCTAAATGAAAATAAACACTTTAAAAATTCATTAAGACTAAAGCTCTTTTCTTGATTTACCCCCAGCAAGAACGCCCAAACTTAAACATTAAAAAGCCAGTGATGGGCAAACTACGCTGTACCTTTGAAACTATATCACCAAAAAGGACCTAAGCAAAACAGGAAAATAAATCCAAGGTCAACTTTGTCTGAGGAAGTTGGAATCTTAGTTTCTTAAAAGTTTCTTGACTGATAAAGGCGGAATTTTATAAGTATATGTTATAAATCATGTTTGGTCTACATTTTGCATTACTTTTGAATGAGAACATGTAAAAATTAAATCACAAAAATACTGAACTCCGAGGAAAATTCAAAAATGAAAGTCCCTAATCAAATGGCAAAATCAAAAGCTCAAACTCATCAAACGAATGGATAACAATGGTAAACGTGCAAAGTTAACGATCAGAGTCAATCACATGTAATTCTAAATTTCGTTCTTTCGAATAGGTGAGATATAAAGCATTTACGATGAGGTTATATACCCTAAAAAAATAAATCATACCACATCTTCTTATTTTTATAAATTCTCTGATCTAAGCACAAAATATTCAACCGTTTTAAAGTCTTACTTTCATTAAACTTCTTTTCCATTTCATCCTTAGTAGCATTATCCAAACGTTCACTCTTGAAACCAAGTTGCTTGAAACTCTGGAATAGTGTTAACGCATCCTCATCACTTCCGATACGATCTGATAAATTCAAATTGGCTTCAAATTCAACGTTATTAATCACAACTGCTATCCCACAACTAATTTGATATCTCTCTTGGTTCAAATGTGCTGTTGATATATTACCTTGTCCTGTGTTACTGTAACAGATAATTCGTTCTTTGAATAAGTTAAAATGCTTCAAACATATAGTTCCAGAAGTGTTATTATGATAATTGCATTTTGGTATGAAAACAAACTTTTAACTTTATTTACATGATTCAATTTATGGTGAATCATTTATAATCGTTTTCTTGTAACAGTAAGTTCTCTCATGTACCCTTGAGATACATTCAATCAAAATGATCATGATCACTCTTATGTTTTGTGTGTGAGATCTCCATAATAAATATAAGTATTTTGTGAAACACTTTTATTTTTCATTTGATTATCTTTGGCTTTAAACATTCTTTGTAATTAACCGCTTTATATTTTTCAATTAATTCTTAATTTTTACTTTTAAACAGTCAATCTGTAAGACAAAATTTTGTACATGGAGAATTAAAGTAAAAGTTAAACAATACTTTGAAAAATAATAAGATTATTATTATTAAAAGTTTTCTGAATTCAATTAAAATGACTGAGTCAAAAAAGAGAGACGAAAGATACCAAAGGGATATTCAAACACAAGTCGAAGACAAACTGACGATGCCATGGCAAAAAACAAGTTGACGTCAATTTAGCAAAAAAACAAAAAAAAAGATCAAAAGACAAACAACATAAAACAAAGCACAACATAGAAAACTAAATATTGATCAACACAAACATCAAAGCTGAGCCGAGGGAAAACATCAACAATACTTTTACCTTTCTGAGAAACTGTTAATGACTTTTTCTTCCTTGCCCGGAGCAGCATCCATCATGTCTCTACATGCCATATCTAAAAAGTATAAAAGGGGATTCATTAAATATAAAGTTAACAAATTTTACTTGTAGAAGGCCTAAATTCAAACGGATACACAGAGTACATAAACTTTATTACAGAACTTGATTAATTTTCAAATTTAATCGCTTTATCAAGCTAAATAAAAAATGACAGTTGTATGACATACCCACTGCTCCACTGTTTTGCATTTATATATCTATGTTAAAACGTTATGATCTTGCATGTTCACATTAAAGGGACTTCACAAACTTTGCATTGGTGTGTGCCTGACACAAAAACTGCTCAAACAAAATCGAAACTACATACATTTTACGGTCACCATTACGACTTATTGTCTTTGTCTTAACTCACTTCTGACAAGCATTCGTGTTCTGAGATAATTAGATATCAGAATTATTGTCTGATCTGTAACATTACCTAGTATGTCCAATTACCGATTGTATTATTTTAACTGGGTGTGGATTCGAATCGCGTGTGATTAATCTCATGTCTTTGTATTTGTACTTTGATTTGTACGTTCTGGATGGATTTATGAGATTTTTTCATCGGTAAACTACCGTCTATTCTAATCCAATGAATTTCATAACATGTAAATGCTTTTTATAGCTTACTATTCGCTATGGGTTTAGCTCATTGTTAAAAGATATTCGGTAAACTATAGATTAGTTACATCATCGTCTTTTCAAATATTCTCTAGCGAATACTTTTTTTCATTGGCAAGTATACTACATCTCTTTATTTTTAAATTAGCAAATTTACATTCCTGTAGACACTGTTGTAAATATCGATTGCAGAATGGCATATTTTATTATTTTAGGAATTATTTTCAGATATTCGGACTCCTTGGATTTTTTTCATACGATACATGGTAAAATATTTTGCCCCATAACACCCATTTTTATTTTCATATAAGACTTTAATAGCTCATAAAAGGTCATTTACCAAAATTTAAGCAGATTCTAGATTTCTTTTCTTTCTATTTGAGACCCCAAATTATACCAATGCAAATACAAGGTAAAAGTCCGAGTCAGCCTATTCTTGCCATTTTTAAAATTTTAAATATCTCGAAAAGGGGCTCCATAACCTATCAATATTTTTAGCTTATTTTGTTCCTTAACTGATGCTCTTCTGACTTAAAGTATCAATTTTGAATTCTAGATTTGTTTTAATTTTATCTAAGTACATTCTTAAGTATTCAAAACAATCATTTTGTCTAAATTATAGCAAGATTTACTGCATTGACTGAAAATGCCCAATACAAATGGTCTAAATGGTTATTTTTAAAAGATAAACAATTTAAGTCTAACGAGCATAACTGATTTGTTTAATTCAAATACTAAATCTGAAGAATTTGACTGTCAAGGTCGACACAATGAAATTCGTACTAACATATTATGAAGTAGAAATAATTTCTGAGAATAGGCTGTATAATTGTTTCCGAGAAATTTTGATAAACATATATGTTAATCTTTTCAGGTACGGTTTATTGAATGAATACATTTATAGCTACCGGATTTTTTGTAAATACTAGGACATTTTTTTTAAAAAGATTTCAAGGTAAACTAAGATCCAATATCCATCTTTACAAGGAAAAAATATGCATTGTTTAGTTTTAAATAATATTTTAAGAAGAAAAGTTAACCGTTTAAAACGAACAAGTAAAAAATAGAAGAACGACTTCTTTCGGTGAAAAGTATACTAACTCATAACTGGTTATATAACTTGTCTTAACCTTTTAGTTTATCATCATATATTACCAGAAAGGGTTTTAACAGGTAGGAGTAATTGTAAGAATAAATCGTGTCTCGCAATAATAATTACATTACATAGAAGTCTCATACGATTCCGTAATTTGAATGGCCGATGCATTTTAGAAGTAAAATTGTACTTCCGTATAAAATGAAACATATATGACTGCACGTGCTATCTGTGACAGCAGCATAAAAATAATGAATAGAAAAACAAACAAAAAGCTTGATTTAACTCGTAATTTGATGGTTGTAGCATTAACATATAACCATATGAATTGAATGCTTCTTTTTATATTTTTATGGGGTTGTAAAAGCGTTGAACGTGCGCACATTTTTAGTATGAAACGCTTCCACGCTTCATACAAAATTGTCTTCGGTCGACAATTTTACACACCAATACAAATACAAAAAGAAGCATTCAATTCTTAAATAAATATCATTTGGGATTACATTGAAAGGGGAATTAGCTACGTGATATAAAACAAAAATAAAATATGATTTTTTTTGTTCAATCATTAATGAAAGTGAAATGATGAAATAATAATTCGCTTTAAGCAGCCAGTTTAGTTCAATTTTGTCAAAATAAGCGAAGAAACATCGCTGATGAATTATTCACTTGCAAGTGAATAATTCGACCTCATTGAATCCGTATTCATGTGACCTTCAATTAAACCCGTTAGCTAGTGATTGGTTACGCATGTATTAGTCGTGTTCAACCATTAAAACGAAAAGAATGTCAACATTGAAAGTGAAACAAAGGTAAACCATTTCGTTGACTGATTCGATCCACAAAAAAATCATTTTTATACAGGTAAAAACGATGATTAATTTATTTTTTTTAACCTATAACATGAAATCAAACAGACCTAAAAAAGTTCAATTGCACGAGGTCGCTATCTATTTATATTTATGTTTATGTTTATATCGGGTTATGTGACTGTCGACAGTCTTCGGAGGTCATCTCGATGGTTAATTAGATGGCGTATAGACTAAAATACACACGAAATGCTGATATATATATTATCGAGTCCATGCATTGTTAATTGTTTATTCAGACTTATTGTAATTTGGATATACGTTTTAGTAAGTTATAAATCAAATATGAGAATTTGAGTCAAATCAATGAACATGAATTTGACAGCTAATGCCCCTTTAAAAGTAAAATATTTACGACACTATTAATATAATAAACAGTGCTGCAGTTAAATTTTTCAAGCAGGGATTAGATTGTTTCTTTTTATAGAAGTCGTGTTTCTAAATGTTAAGAGTCAAATTAAACATTGAAATAGACATAAAAAAATCTCAGGTCAGTATCATGCGTTTTGAAAAGAAATTTAAGGAAATAAATCAGAAAAAAAACTTACATTGTCATACATGTATAAAGTTACAATATTTTACAATTATATATAGAGTTAAGTGTTTTCCAGTACTGTATTCGAGTTTAATTGTTTATTATTTTCGTGCCTTTTGTTATTTAACTAACCGGAAATAAAAGAGGAAGGTCGAGATAAAACAACATAGTTTAACTAAAGTACCGGTACCAATTCAGAAACCTCATGATTTTTTGTTTTGTTTTTCTCATTAAGAAATTCGAAGTCAACAGTAGAATTATAAGTTTTGTCTCTTAAATCACAAGCAACTTTTTTATAAGTCTGGTATCTTTAAAAACAAATTCAGAGCGATTAAAAACTTCGCATACTGTAAAGACAATCGTTAATTGTCTTTAGTTTTCATTGACCTGACAACCCCTTTCATAAAATGCTTTGGTTACATATTCTTAAAGGTAAATAAAGCAGTCTGATATGAAAACAAATACATTTTAAATATTTATCCAGTTTAGTTTTATTGCAATATCGCACTATATAACACAGAAAAAAATCTTTCTATTTAAGAGAGAGGCAAAAGATACCAAAGGGAAATCAAACTCATAAGTCGAAAACAAACTGACAATGCCATGGTAAAAAACAAATAACAACCAAAAGACAAACATCAGTATACAAAACACAACATAGAAAACCATGGAGAACTGATAACTGTGTAACACGAACCCCATTTAAAATCTGGGTGATCTCACGTGCTCCCGATGGGTAAGAAGATCCAGCTCCACATGCAGCACCCGTCGTGTTCCTCGTGTTAAAACGATTCTGATGATAAATCTAATTCGATAGGTTACATTCGAGGGAGAGAGTATCGGGATATATCCGTCGTCATCTGTGAAACAAATATATTCAATAACGGTAAACCAACTCGTGATGACGTCCATAAAATATTCGATGTGATGATTTCAACTTTACCACTTTGAATTCCTGGTTTAAAACCTTCATCGTAAGCAGCAACTCTCTATCAAGGAAATCATGATATGAAATGCAAACCCTGGAATATGGTATCAACTGAGAGATATATACTGCATAAGGTAGTACACTATACATGTTAAGCTTGGGTCAATTACAGAAATTTAAAAGAGAATATTTCAAAAAATTGCATCTGTTACTGAAAATTCAACAACGCAACATTTGAATATAGATCATCATAGGAATGTCGTATCAACTGGGAGATATATATTTCATATGCAGGTGCTGCTGAAATGTTTCTACATAGAAATTGATAGTTCACAATTGGGAAGCTGAAACCATCTCTATTGCCGTAAAGTTTCGTTCTCAACTGACCCTCATTTTCAATTTCTAAATATAAGTCAAGATATGAAGCAGACTTAACTGTATCTGTGGTATTCGTTTTTAAAGTTTGATGGGATAAATGCTTTCAACGTAGTCACCAAACTTGGAATTATTTAGTGAAGGGATATCATCTATCAAGCGGAACGTGAAGTTAAAGGATAATGCTAGCTTCTTTCATTTTCCGACGAAGATCCTGTATTGAGTCTACTTCATAAAAATAAAAGAACAAATCCACAAGAACAGGAGCACAGCTTGTTCCCATGGCAGTGCCGATTGTTTGTCGAAAAACACGTCCTTTAAACGTACAAAATATGTTGTCAATCAAGAAATCAAGCATCTTAATTTTTTTATCCCCTATTGAAATCAAATTTTAGTCGTCTCTGACAAACTGAAGGATAAATAATTTGTCCTTTTGCTATATCATGGCGGCCGGTTTTATTGGTGAAATAACAAGAGTGCCCGGAGAGAACCAACAACATAATGCAGTAACACTAGTAAAAATAATAATGGTCGAAAGTATCTTGCCTCGAACTGGTTTTTAACTTAATCCAGGAACGGACATCTTTTTGATATCGGACGTAAATTGATTCTAATAAATATATATATTTCTTTAATTCAATTCAAAGCAGTTTTTTTTTATAGTTTTATAGAGAACTTTTCGAATGTTATATATGTATACGGTTTAAAAAAAACGACATACTATTAACATTTGCACTAAAAATCTTTTCGGAGGAATAGACTTGATAAGGAAATTTAAAAAAAACTAATACCTCAATAAAAATGATTGATTAAAATTTACTAATTTCGGCATTAATTAAATAAACCCTTTCCAGTGTTCTTCTTTTAAAAAAATTTGTTTTCTATAAATGAAACTAAGACATTGTTAGAATCTAGATATGAAAGATATTTTACCTTCAATTGTCGGTTATCTAACGAATGAAGACTGGACTGTCAGTGTAAGTTACTTCCTGCTAACGTACAAAACTGGACCAATGTCAATTAATGATTATGTTTTAAGTGAATTGAACTAAGAAAACATATTTACTTGCGTATTTAACAACATAAATATAAAATTACTCATACCTACACCCTAACGATTTCTTGCTTTTCCGAGAAATAAACGTGATGATAATATAAAATGTATACTAAAAATAAGCGTAGATAGTTGAAATGTTTAAAGTTTTAGGAACAATGACATTGTATCTATATCTATATATACATGTCTAAATTGAAAACAACGTTCAAACCTATGATTTCGTTGGATAAAAACCGCAATTTTATACATGTGCATGCAAAACAAATTTCTTGGTAAAGGGGTCTAAATACAGCACAAACAACATTTTCCAAAAGACCAAAAAAAGTGAAATAGTATATTTTAACAAAACGCAGAAGAGACATTAATTGTCGAAATCCGGATATGGTGTACAAATTTTTGCACCTCATAATTGCGGTATACCATCTTTTCCGCAAGTTTATTGTTTTTTGTTTGGTACTAAATAAATAATTTTTAAGATCCATTTTGTTACATCTGGTGATAAGTTTATTTGGCAATCGCCAATGGCAGTCAGCAGGGTTTAAGAACATCAGTTGTTCGACCTGCTTGTCAAATGCGTTTTGTTAAAATATACTTTTTCACTTTTTTGGTCTTTTGGAAAATGTTGTTTGTCCTATATCTATATATATATATAAAGTTTAATTGTTCTTTCGATTTTACAAATGAATAACCAGTTAACAGCTTTTAAAGTCAACTATTTGATATTATGTTGTCAAATTTCAAGGGAATTGAGGGCTGTATGATTTATTTCCTAGTTTACTGATTTGTATTCCATATTATTCCATGGTGTCCCTGCAGTCAGTTTATATCACATTTGAAGTTATACTGAGACTTTCACAAACCCTAATATGATGATTCATAGAAAATAGGAGAAATAAAAAAAATCCGATTAACCAACACATATTTAAGAAACTCTCAGTTTTTTATAACTCATGCACATAGCATATCGTAATCAACTTTCCATTTGTTTTAAATTACACCACATTTACAGTTAATATGAATAAAGGGATGTGAAATGATTGCCATAGAGACAACTTTCCATGAGAGACCAAATGCCATTAATATGAATCTTCCTCATTTCTTGGCATATAAACATTGACAATGAAGGTAGTTTAGGATTTAACACTACGATTATAGAGATCATTTCAGTTTTTCCATTTCAGTGTAGCAACATTTTAACAGCGCCTTTATACGAATGAGATATCTCCCATTTGATACATTATTCCAGGATTTGCGTTTCATGTCATACATTACTTTGATAGGAGATTCTCGATTGTGACATTTCCGAAAAAAAGATTAAAAAAATACTAAACTCCAAGACAAATTCAAAGTGGGGGAAGTCCATAAAACCTGACAAATTAAACTATTTACCGGATGTTTACATGCTAAGCAAGACGATTAGTGCATTAGTGGAGCAAGAACTGCTTACCCTGAGCACCGGAGCACCTAGGTGGGATTCGTGTTGCTCAATCTTTAGTTCTCTCTGTTGTATTTTATTACTGTTGATTGTCTTTTCATCGTTTTTATTTTGGCCGTGGGTACGTTTGTTTCTATAGGACTTATGATTTTTTTTGTCCCTTAGATATCTCCTCTCTCTTTCAAAGGATGGTGTTATGTAAGCTGATCGCAAAGAACCAACCTAAGTCAGTGCCAAAAAGAAATATATTCTTTTTATAGTTAAGAATGGAAAAATGGATAAAATTAATTCAAAAATACAAATATAAGCAATACTTTACTGCATCGAATTTTATGATTGATAGTGTTTCTATTTTTGCATTACCAAAAATAGGTCTTGGCTATGAGCCTATAAATAAATGCAAAACTCGTTTCTTGACATTTTTTATGTTTTTTTATCTCTATTTTTATAGACCTATCATAAGCAAAAGTAACATTAAAATAAGAAAAATAAAAGACATTCTGAAGGCTTATGAATATTCTGACTACCTCTGGTCAGGAATATCAATTGGTCATCCTATAGAAAATAATGAATGTGCAATCATTTTTAGCATTTTTTATGACATGGCTGTACAGTAATGGTTAGCATTTAAGTGTTGCATAAATTAATAGTAACACTTCAAGAGGGACAAAGAGATTCAACAGACGCTTTTCCAAAAAAAAAGAAGATACTTGTTTGGTTGACATTCCAGCTCATAAATATAATTCAGATTGGGATAAGTTCCCTTCGTGATAGGGACTTTTTCTTATTGAAACAATGGCAAATATGTCATTAAACACGTACGTTATTGCCGAAATCAGGCAAGTGCAAGTTTCATGATGACATGAAAGTAGTTCCTTGATCGATGGACTCCGCCTTGCTTAATTTCAAACTGATCCCATACTTTTTTCCACATGAAGGGCAGATCATAACACAATAGAACGACTGTCAATATCTGTTTTCCATGGATTCACATTTTTCAAGGGATAAGATGTATTCATATTCATAGAAATAATAAAAAGGATGCTATACATAGGTAACTTTCCGAAAAATACAGAACATATCACATTTAAAAGATCAAATCGTTTCTAATGATATATAAATTTGATTTCAGCAATTTTAGAGATTCCTTGATCCGGCCAATGGCAAACATTTTATACATAGTTAGAACAAAATTAAGTAAACTATAAATAAAATGTTGTAGTATCGAGAAAAAACCTAGCTATCTCCGAGTCAAGAGCAATTAATTACGTTTTCAGAGACAAAGAAGCTATGAAATGTCTTTCATCTTTCACGATAAATATGTTGTTGTTCCTGCGGACAAAGCTTCAAATACTATTGTCTTTGTATGTAAATCGTAGTACTACGAGTGTCTTGTAAACAAATTGGGAATAAATGAGCACTCAGGTAATCCCACATACAAAAACATATCATTTGACAAGGATGAGATTTTGGCGAATCATAAGTCCTTCATGGTTAAAAAGAAATTTACATTGAATTGCAAATCTGAGGACTTACCTTGTATGTATTGGATACCTAAGCTTCACAATATTTCGTACAAACAACGCGTTACGGTACATTGCCGACTCATCTGCATGTTCTACAAAGAACTTCAAATTGTCCATAAGATTGACAAAAAATCTGTTCGCAGTGAAAGAGAGTCTTCAGAAATACTGTGAAACTGTTTACTCGCGTAGTGGTATTAACCATATGTGGATTCTAATAAATTCTAAATACTTTCTGGATAATTTCAAAATTCGATCTTTCTCTGAAATTAATTCTATCAAAACTTTTGATTTTTCAACCCTGTATACAACCATACCCCAAGTGAAATTGAAAAATCAATATACAAATGGTAGCATACGCTATAAATTTATTACTTTGGAATACCATATGTCATATTTTGTTAATAGTGAACAAAAAGGAAAAACATGCTACACAGAGGAACAAGTGATCAGTATGCTGAAGTTTCTTATTGACATCATATTTATTGAATTTTGCGTTAGACTTTTTCAACAAGTTGTCGGAATTCCTATAGGAACGAGCTGTGCGCCTCTCTTGCCGACCTCTTCATATTTTCATATGAGTCGGATTTCCTTCAGACACTTGTCAAAAAGAAGAAGACCAAAGAAGCCAGATCATTTAATTTCACATTCAGATATATTGATGATGTTCTTTCCATTAACAATCCAAACTTTTCTGATTGGGTTCCATTAATATATCCTCCAGAACTAGAAATTAAAGAAAAGACAGACACGGCTTCCGTCGCCTCATTTTTATACTTATATCTCGAATTTGACATAGCGGTCATCTTAGTACCAAAATCTATGACAAACGAGACGATTTTAATTTTGAAGTTATCAATTTCCACCACCTAAGTAGCAATATACGAACTTCACCTGCATATGGGATATACATTTCCCAACTCATTCGGTATTCAAAAGCTTGCAGCTGCTACTCAGACTTTATAAAACGTCACCAGTGTCTGAGCAGAAAGTTGATGAACCAAGGTTATGTCAAAGAACGTCTCGTCCTTTTTCTAAAAAAGCTCAACGGAAGATACCAAGACATTGTTGATAAAAGAGAGGCGAAAGATAGCAAAGGGCATTCAAATAGTTGAAAATAAACTTACAACGCCATGGTTAAAAAAGAAAAGACCAACAGACAAACAATAGTACAAAACACAACATAGAAAACTAAAGACTGAGCAACAGGAACCCTACCAAAAACTGGGGGTGATCTCAGGTGCTCCGGAATAATGTATAATAAATATTCCGTACCAACTTGACAAATAATACATGATGGTCTTAAAATATAGATTCTAGGTACTGACATTGTTAATAATCTTAATTACGTGTTATAGTGTCCTTTTATTTGTCTTTGTTAATTATTAACCTTTACTGTTTAGTCAATTTTTGTAATATCCAATTGGCGTGGCTCGGTACTTATATATACCACCTTTGTGTTATTGTGCTATGGTATTTTTTTGTATTCTTGTCTTTAATTTTTGCTGATGTGCTCTGTCTTTATGCCATTTTGTTTTTCTTTGTTGACATATTTGTTTGTTTTTATAGTGGTTAAGATTGTAACACAATGTTGACTGCTGTACCCCTATTTTTGACAATTTTACCTATTATGTCTGTTTGTTTCGTTCACACATTGTTGTCAATACAATGGAATTTTATGCGACTGTCATACAAGTGAGAGGTTTAGCTAGCCATTAAACCAAGTCTAATCCACCATTTTCTACATAAGGAAATGCCTGTACCAAGTCAGGAATATGACAGTTGTTTTCCATTCGTTTGATGTGTTTGAGCTTTTGATTTTGCCATTTGATAAGAGACTTCCCGTTTTGAATTTTCCTTCGAGTTCGGTATTTTTGTTATTTTACTTTTTTCTAGGCTAACGTCATGTCTTCACAAAAACAATCGGACACATTGCAATTTATAAATGTTACACAGTCAAACGAACATTCCTCAATAAAAGTGTTAACATCATAAATTTCATACTCGTGACATTTGGGAAATGGGGAAATTAATAACAGAAACATCAATAGGAAGCATTCAAAGCTAGTTCAACAATCTTCGTTACACCTTCCTCGATAGTTCTATATTAAACATTACAGTACACAAATATCCTGTGATATTGTAGTACTATATTTTTTTGGGTAAAATTATTCATCGATGTTTCCTTTCCCATAGATACAAAACATAATTATAAATATTCTTTATAAAAAAAATAATTATTAATGTGAACTGAGCTATTATACATGAATGGACACTTAAAACTGATTAAAACTATATAAATGGTCATAATGTAAAAATCAAAGGTTTTTGTTCAATATTTTAAGGCATGTGACTTTCAGATGAATACGGTATTTTTTTATCTTCTTTGGATTAAAGAAAAAACTTTAGTCGTATTTCTTGAAGTTAATGTAGTTCTTTCAATAATGTTATACTGATTGAGTAATTGTTGATTGCTTAACGTTCGATGGGAAATATAATTTACACATTCAAGACCAAATAAATAATTAATATTATAAGACGATAGGTAGGTTCTGCAAAGGGGGACAATCCAGATGCATGGTTGGTCAAATAGATGGCCTCTTTCCAACCTTTGAAAGTATGTTTGATTTGCTGTCAAATTTGATTGATTATTAATAAATATTTGTTATCTAGTATCAATATAGGCAATAGGAGTGCGAATCAATATGAACATATTACTTTTTGTTGAATATCAAGAGTGGATTTATGTAAATAACCTCATGTATATCAAATTTAATAAACAAAGTCTACAAGGCAATTGAACAAACGAGACTTGGATATGCATTCATTTATAAACTGTTGCCAGAAACGAAACAGATTTAACAATTACATTCTAGACTAAGTCGTAAACTTTTTTTTATGATTCACTGTGTGTACGTTAGAAAAAAATAAATGTGTGTCAGCACACTCCTTAGGTTCAGACGGATATGTATAAAAGTGCTCTTTGATAATTTAGAAACCGTTATAGATGTTCCAATTAGAAAGTGTAATTTGAGTTGCATTTTTTGTTCATAAAAATTTGAAATGATGACTTCAACTTTACCATTAAGAACTCTTAGTTCAATAGCTTCATTGTAAGCAGCAACTCTCTATCTAAAATATCCTGATTAAAGTCACTGCAAAATGAATGATGTTTTAAAAAACTATTTAATTAGTATTAATTTTTTTATTTTTGTTTTGTTTAGAAAATAGGAATTTAGACTATTAAACATGTATCTATATGAGTTGTAAAGATAGTTATAACACATATTTGATCATTTGATCAGTATGTTAGAAAAAAACGGAAAAGTATACTTAATAACAATATCTATTGTTGTTTTCTGAGAATATTCCGTAATATCTTTTCCAAGAAATTACTGTTAATGAAATTATTTTTCTTTTAGGGTATGTTCTATTGAAAACAAAATATGTATATTTAAAGAGGTTTTTAAACTTCAACAACTATCTTAAAATTAATTTTCAAGAAAAGCAAAATAAATTTCGATCTTTAAAAAACAAATCTGTTAATCGTATGAAAAGGATATTAATGTCTAAAACTTATAGGACTTGTTGATACCTTTCACAATCAAGATATTGTATTCTTATATTATCATTGTTTTGATAATTTTGAGTTCCATATTAAAATCAATATGGTATTCTTAGTAAGTAAATAATATTGTTCGGTCATTTCTTTAGTTCGATGGCATCATCGTGCTTAATTTCGTCTTTAAATTACTTTCTCGTTCGTCTTACGAAAAATATATAAATAATTCCGTCCAGGTGTATAATAAATCTAGTTTATATACTAAATTATAACGTAGAAATAACAAATAATAGTGGGCAGTACAGAATTACAGTACATACCAACTGAAATGGGAAAATTTCTATCATGAAGTGTCAGCTCCTACATAGTCAAATTCTTCTTTACGACATGTCAGCGGTTGAGTTAACGACTAACAATAGTCATTTTGAATATTCATATGATCTTATCGCAACTTTGTTATTTTTGATTGAGTGCAGGAAATTTATAGAATGATTTCAAAATCAAAATTATCAGAATCATAAAAATGTTGTCGTACAGTATGATTACAATAAATTATTCGTACCTGCACTAGAAAGTTATGTTCTCTTTTTGAAAGGTACACGTTACAAGGAAATACAAACTTATACTAAATATAAAAGAAGGTTATGTGTATTAATATTGACCAGATTGATTATAATAAAAAAAGGTAAGAAATATAAATCTATAAGAAATATAAGTTTTTTTTTAGAATATTCAGGTATGAGTTTAAAGTTTATTTCTTTTCCAGAAATAATACTATAACTTTCAACTTTCTGATTTCATTGTAAGCACAAATAGAAATAATTTACAGATCAATTTCTTACTCTTTTCTTTTCTTGTTTATTAAAAGTTCCAATGATTTAAATGTGTTAAAAGAAGTAAAGTGCATGAAAAAGCAATTTAGACCTGTAGCTGGTCATTATGAAGTATGAAACGAAAAATAAAAATAACATATGCTTCCTTTAATTGACAAACTCCAAGGGGAAGGGAAAATAAAATCTGTTTAAGTATCATATACCCATCATCGTCTTTCATCCAATCTATAACAGAGATTTGTAATAACTAATGTTTCCCGTGCTTGAGATCTTATCTTTTTTTTCTTTAGTTAAAGCATATCTATTCTGGAGATTATTCTCAGTTGTTTACATCACTGTTTTCACCAGTCTTTATTTTTATCGATACTCGGTGTACCATTTATTTGTTTTGTTTGCCAAGGCCTATTCATACAATTATTTCCTGTAATATCATCTTACATATATGTGATATTTCCTGTGGTTGTATAAATGTTAGTATTGTTTACGTATTTGAATTGATGTAGTCAGGCAAAAAATGACAGTATTTGTTGAATTTGTTTGGATTTGTTTGCTACTAATAACCAGTTATCTGTTGGAATACATACAAATCTGGTGTACAAATTTAGATGTAGTGTTATCCACATTTAAACCAGCGTTAGCACCCATCTCTAACTTGCAGTGAGGTGCTCCCAAGCGTTCTTTCCCTGTGGATCACCTCACTGTGACTTTGTGGTGACATAGAATTAAAGACAATTGTCTTTACTTCGGGGTTGTCAACTTTGCTTCGAAATATTTTGTCATGAAATAATAAATCTTCTTCTTCAATTTGTACAAAATCATTAAACAAGTACAGATACAAAATTTACTGCATATAAAACTATCTCATACATACAAGTATAATTGTGTATCGGGCAGATCTTTATGATACAAAAACCTAACAAGATAACCGGACTTAAACTGTACAAGTTATATCTTTTTTATTGTAAAATGCAAGAGCAGCAAATACTGAAACAAAAGGGAAACTATTATTATAGATGCATTTACAATGTGAAGATCAATTGTATGATACTGTAAAGATGTTTACATTTGTTGAGTTTAAATTTCGTGCATTTATAGAGTTCAACATGTTTGTGGGTTTTATTTTCAATTGTTTTCTTTTTCCTTTTTATTGGGTTAGGATCTTCATTCGAGAACTTTACCCGAGTGCAAAACTTTGCTATTATATTTTCATCGCAAAATTAATAGAAATAAACACAATGTCAAAATGTTCTACGTTACAGTAGTTACAGTATCAAGGAGCAGAAAACTAGAATGTTTTATACACATGGTTTAATATTCAATTAATATGTCAAAAAAAAAAATGATTACATACATTATTTGTATAATTGTAAAACTTTTAATTTGACAAAATAATCTTAACACCACATTACAATGTTGATAACTAATATTGCATTGATACGAGAGAAAGATTTAATATATATTTCTTTTCTTAAAAAGGAAATTTTTCGAATGAATGACCGTAAAACATCAGGACCTAATGTAGTATTCATTTATTTATAGTTGCAAAAAAGGTTTTTTTTATTAACTGAAAATAACACATATAGATGTGGGTTACTACGACAGGTAAAACACTGTTTGTTCTTTATCTCAAAATGAATGCCAACAATTTTTGCTACTTGATTGTTTTTATGAACAAGAACTTTAAATACAAATGACTTTTACTTTTGAAATGTCCGACTTTTCCGTTTGAAGAAAAAAACCTAGCAGAATTTTTCAAGGTGGTCATATCTATGTTTGTAACCGGTCATTTTAGCATTAAGTCATGGTGTGGCTGAATTTTCTAATCTTTTTGCTTTAAGTATAAGTCCTTTGTAAGATGTGAAATAAAACAAGGCATCTGGGTAATAATGTCACTGTGTGCATAATTTGGTTTATATCCAAGACCAACGTCTTTGTTAACTCTGGTCAAAACTTTGTAGAAATCATCTTCTTTCTTCATTTTGAGTAGCTCTTCTGACAAGTAACGGACAAATGGTGACCCTTGCTCTGTGTTTCGGAAAGATCCATAACCTGAAAAAAAAAAAAAAAAAGAAATTCACGTTTTAGTATACTATCTGCTGTTAACGGGTAATTCATCATATAACTGTTCTTTTTAAGGACCCCCGATTATTAGTACGATCTGTATTGCGAAAATTAATACCATGTTGATCTTTAAACATTAACATTTTATCAATTGCTATTCAATTTCACTTTTCAGGCATTATCTGTATTTCGCATGCATATCATGGTTTTGGTTGTCAACTTCGATTTAAATGCACCGAAATGGTCAGACAGCAACTTATATTAATCGACTGTCTTGAAAAGCAAGAAACTTAATCAACTAAAATAGCACCTAAGATCACCCACCCGGTTTCTGTTTGGGTTCGTTTGGCTCAGTCTTGAGTAGACTTGAGTTTTCTGTGTAGTGTTTTGTAGAGGGTATCACCCGTCGAGTAGATCAGTACCTTTGTACTCTCATATTACCAAGAATTTGCGTCCTTAGGATCAAATCTTATGCTATTCCTGGTCCTCTTCGGTTAAATCAACTCTTTAAAGTTTGTATTCGGTTTTGAGTTTAATACATTTTGGTCAATAGAGATATTAATTTTCGAAATACGCATATGTGTAGTACTGTTAATACTATCTTTCACAATTAAGATTAGCAGTCTTTATTTAAATTACTTTTGAATTTTAGTTCTCATAATTTCTACAACAATAGCAATGATCAGTCCAATTCTATGGATTGAAATCAACTTTAACATCTACTTTGCATTATTTAGTGAGAAGACATCATCTATATAGCGGAACGTGAAGTTAAATGATAATACTAGATTATTTTCATTCTTCTAAAGAAGGTTATGGAGTTGATCAACGGACTCAGAAGAACTGACCGAAGCGTGATAACCTAACATTGATTAATAAAGCATAAAGATGATGTTAAGGTTAGGTACATCTGTCAGACAGGTGTGTACATCTTTCAATGATTTGACCAGCAAAATATTGCTACCGAATGAACAATCTTTTGTCTTGATTTCTGTAGTAATAATCGTAAGCCAGACAAAAAAGAATTTAAGATGAAAAATGCTTACATTTCCATCCATATTTTTCAAAAGTCATGAGACATCTTTAAACTACCAAAAATTTAAATTTAAAAAATGTTTGTAAATAAAAAACTGGTAGAAGGACCATTTGTTTTGTTGCAACAAGTTTCTGTATAATATATAATATTTATATGGAAAATGACATTATTGATGATATGTATGTTTTTTTATTCAGCAGCAAACCGTCTCAAACTGACTTTACAAAAAAAAAACGGAAAAATATTTGTTTATGCTATTAATCAACATTTTTCTCAAACTTATAGTTTGAAAAGAAAAATACATGTGTTACAGTGAATGTTTTTGATCTTAGTTGATAATAATTGAATTCAATTATATGCCAACACCTTACCATACACTTGTCTGTGATAAAGTAATACACCCGTTGGTTGACTACACTTACCAGTGGAAGTAGAATACACTGCTAAGAAATCTGCTTCATTAGGAATACGTATTACTTCTCCGTGTATCTTGTCATAATCAGTATAGATAGCACCAGCATCTGCCTGGTTTTGATCTCTTATAACTCTCCTGTTTACGCCACGTCCTAATCCTTGTCCTCTACAGGCCTGTAATTGTAATTTACAGTTAATTTATATAACTGCAAACAATATATTTTCTTCTCTACCTCGTTTAAGTCAAAAGCTAACTTTTTAAAGAATTTGTTCTTTGCAAGATGTACAATATCATGAGTAACACAATTTTCTTACTTCGCATATTGAAGATATCACAACCAAGTTTAGATTTCTTTTTAACTAGGCGATGAGTCTGTAAAAGAATGATGTTCCAATATAAAACCAAAATTTGAAAAAGTAATTAAGTAGACCTAAATGCAAACTATAACGTGCGGTCTGATTGCACAAAAGGGAATCGTGATGAACGACATCTTCGTTAAGTGTTTGCAATACATAAGAGAAAAACGAAAGAAGAAACACCAGCACGCCCAAATTGATAAACCACTAAAATAAGAATCAATAATAAAAAAAAAATCATTTTAGCGCCTACACTTGAGTGTGTAGGTAAAACAAAACCTTCTTTTATCTTGCCGGAAAGCTGAACTATGCAATCGTTACAAATGAAATGACTATTCGCCAATTGTGATAGGTTAGTTTGATTAGTCAATTTGTTTACTGTTTTACAATGTTTACATTATGGTACTACTTTTTATGTTGGACATCTGACTATTAATAGATAGAATGTATTCAATAACATATTTAAAGTCGACTGATATTACTTAGATCACAAATTGAACACAATTAAGCTCTACAAATGTTATTTGTTAGATCATCTATATGTATACGATATGAAATTTATAACAGTTCTTTTTATTCTTTATTTTAAAAATTGTCTAATAAAATCTTGAAAACAAAACATTTATATTTTCTAACATCTTTTGTTATTCTGACATGAAAAGAGGTTGGAGGAAAAAATTGATACTAAAAAAAATAAAGATAATTCAATGTTGAAAAATTGTACCTTAAAAGATCAGTAAATGCAAATAAGACTTCATAAATATAGTGCATCCTAGGCACTTTTCTAGATTAACCTTCATCAGGAATGCTCCAACTAGAACATTTGAAAGCAACGGAAGGTCGAAAAACAACAATTTAATGCTGTATATCAGACGGAATATAAACAGACTATGAATGTTTATAGGATGATTGAATGACACTTAGCTCCTCCCATTTGTAGGGTAACAACTATTTCATGATCAGCTAGAAAGGAAAATAATCAGACCTTTTGGAAATTAAAATTGGCAGTTATAAAATTTAGGAAATCATTTCAAATAAAGGAATATATCTCCCTCATGCAAAGCTCTTGTCAAGATTTGGCTATACTTTAGGTTCTTTTTATTTGAGCTTTTCAATGTTTTTATTCAAATATTTCTGCCTTGGACATCACCAAAGAGACATTAATCTTCGAAATGCGCATTCGGTACAATAACATTGGTACCAGAATTAAGTAGACTTTATTACATCTATGGTATCCTTTATTTTAACGAAATTAGATATATTAAAATCATAAAGTAATAGAATAATCCTAGTTCGTTTCATTTTCCTGACAAGCTCTTATATGAGGCCTGCCTCAGCAGTAAGCAGACGAAAAGATTTTGTTCTCTATAGAATTAAAACTTTTTGTTAGAAAAATATGTCTAACAAATACATGTATACCTATAATAGTATGTGTTTAATGAAAAAAATTTGCATGCATATGACGAAACGCACGTCTGGCGTTCACATTTTTAAACCTAGTATCTATAGTGAGTTTATGACACAAGTTTTTGTGTAAGTATCTAAAAAGTTTTCTATAAAAGCAGCATTTATGATTATCTACAACAAAATATTTTACTCTATATTAGCCATTCGGTTGCAAGAAATAAAACTGAAATATTTTGGTCTCGTTATGATATTGGTACCATTATTGATGAGACGTTTATTACAAGCGTAGCCTATTTACAAACAATGCATTTTAATTCCATGAATATAGTTTGGAAATGGCCTTCATTTTGTAATGTTTGAGGAGCAAATTGCGTATATTTGATGAATAAGTAATCATAATTCATATTCATAAATTGGGAAACATACCATAAATGACTAGCAAAACATTACAAGAAGCTATACAAAAAAAAAATCACCCGACTAAATTCATTCTTTTATAAGGCTGTAATGATTCAAAAAAAGTTCTCAGAAATTTCACACTCATCTTGATATTCCTACAACCAAAATTATATGATTTAACATTAAGCGTAAATTGCTGGAAACTATATCCCTTCAGGAAAATTCTAGAATAGCTTTATCTAACCTGGAAAATAAAAATTTTTGGCTTCATTATAAGTTCTGGACAATTCTCTGCATTGAAGTAATCCATCACATTTTTTATCTTAACAGACTCATCTGTCATATAAACACTGTTCTCATTTCCATGCGTCAACAAAGCTACAATTAGGCAGCCAGCTTCTTTCAAACTTATCTTGTCGTTTTTAACTACAAACAAATAATATAATTTTGTTCAAATATAATTTTTCAGTGTATGCACTTTTATGTACAATTTGTGTGGCTACTGATAGATTTGTTAACATAAAAAGGGTTACCAAAAGTTAGGTTATGCACCATAGACTCTGACTTAAATTTCTCTTATAAACAACAAGTAGCGGATTGTTTTTGTGTAGGAAGAAGAAAAGAAGGTACGTCAAATGTCGAACCAAACACATAGTCACTTTGACCATTAATTTGAAAGGTTTCTGTCCTGCTCTGAACGTGAACTTTTGACACTTAAAATGTTCCACTTACCTTGTATTGAAGAGACAAGTAAATTTTATTATGAAATTTATCTATCTGTATAAATTCTTTTGAAAGAAGTTTTACACTCTAAAGCAAGACTAGATATTGATTTGTTATAAAATTGTAAGTTTTCCAAAATTGAATACGTCAACATGCGATTACGTCATGTCCTAATAGAGATTTCCAATAAAATGACTTTACTCGACATAACCGACCCAACTCAACGTATTTCGTCCTATTGCATTGAAGCATGACGGAGGGGAGCATACACTGCATGCACTTTTTGCTTTTTGAACACGCATTTTTTGCTGATATAGACTTAATGTAAAAATCAATCCCAACTCCTTTTTTAATCTTTAAATATTTTGTTATTGAATTTTGAATGATTTTATTGACAAAAATATTTTAATGGAATACTTAAGCAATCAACCTGTAATCAAATACACCCATCATTTCTTGTCATTTCACTTGACCCATATTTCAGTTCTTCTCAAAATGTGAATTTTAAAAACTACCAAATAAAAATTTAGCATGAAAATATTAAAATAATGAAATCCGAAGCGAGAAGTTTATCTCTTTTTTTGTTTTTATAAGTTTTAACATTTAAAAAGTAGATTCCAACACACCCGAATGCAAAAGGTGTACGCGACTAACTTTAAAAAAAAAAAATTTCTATTATTTAATTCAAGATAATTTGACAGGAATTTATATCATTGATACATTTATCAAATAGTATTTTTTAGTCTTCAACTATAATAATGCATGGGACGAGGTTTTTGTCCATGTATACCTAAACGTGCATTCGCAGATACAGGGGTAGAGGGCGTACTCCCCCTCTTCGATCGACAAATAATTTTGCAAATCTCACGTTTTCCACGTTATCTATACAAATGTTTAGTATAAAATCGTCTAATTTTTTTTTCGCATTGCTCTGCTCGGCAGTATAAATTTAATTATTGGGAACTATGCCCTCTTTCAAATATCTTGGATCCGGCCATAATCACAAATTGTATGGCACCAAGAAAAAAAATTAAATGATTGTCGTTTGACTTTGATAGATACTAATATTTTCCCGCGTTTCGATCAGTATAGCGGGAAAATGTTGCATTCTCGGTATGGAATCGTTAATATTCGGTAGGCCGATGTAAATCTATCCAATCAAGGGGCTGAGTTGTGGTCATATATAAGGTGTTTTTTGTGTGGTAGCTTCACTTTCTAGCCGTCGTATTGACCGAGTAAACTCCATTATTTTAAATGATGTTTATATATCTATTGTTAGACAAATATTTTTGTTTTTCGTAAATTGTTTGAACCGACGAGGTCCGACGTCATTATCCTGAGATAGGCTCGAGCATTGATTCGGATACAGGTTTCCGTAATACGGTTTTTCCTGGTCGGCTATCAATGAGGGGTAATTTATTAAACGTACGGCTTCCAATATTTTGCTGTGTTTTGTACACAATGATATGATTGGTGAATGAAAATGCCAATTGATTACTGATTTATATGTTTTATTTGATGATATGTCACGATTATATATTATATTATATTATATTGTATACAATTATATCTGGCGTCCATCACGTACGACGGGCTGTCGGCAAATTTGAATTTGTGTTTGAGTTTTATTTTTCTGCCATGCGTACAAAAAGGTGTTGTTGGTGTGCTGTCAGTGGCAGAAAAGGGTGTCATTTGTGTGTCTGTCTTCTGTAGTATAGAGAATACGTTTTAAAACAACAATGTTTGAACATTAATTTAGACATCTCGCACGAGATTTAAAGGTTTAAGACTACAAACTGAATTGGATTTTTTCCTGGATTTAGAGCTAACTTAACACGGAAATGTGATACTGGCGTGTAATCTAAGGGACACATATTCTCGTTTCTGATGTTTCTTTTAATATAAATATTCATTTATTTAGCTATATATAATTCCATTAACAAATAATCATGTATCTTTTACTGATAAATTATCATTACATTTTATAGAAACTACATATAATCTGCTATACAGTTATGAACACTAATGGTACTACATACACTCTGTGCTTTTGACATGACACAAGGTCTTGCTTTTCTAGAGTGTTTATGTACTTTTTTACTTAATTTGTGATATGTACAAAAAAAGAAGATGTAGTATGATTGCCAATTCGACAACTCTTCACAAGAGACCAAATGACAGAGAAATTAACAACTATAGGCCACCGTACGACCTTCAACAATGAGCAAAGCCCATACCGAATAGTCAGCTATAAGAGGCCACAAAATGACAAATGTAAAACAACTACAACTATAAAACTAACGGCCTAATTAATGTACAAAAAAATGAACGAAAGCACAGCAACAAACGATAACCACTGAATTACAGGCTCCTTACTTGGGACAGTCACATCCATACATAATGTGTCGGTGTTTAACATGTTAAGGGACCCACTTACCTAATACGGTGGTGTAACAGTACGAAATAATTGATTAATATTCTAGACTGGATAATCATTCTGTATTTATTAGTTGTAGTTGTTTTTAAGATAGTGTTCAGTAGCTGTGAATACTCTAAGATCGGTACATGGAGTTTATTTGGAAATACTAGTAATTGCTGTTTTTGTGCTTCGTTTTAGTCGGACGAGTCAATCCCTTTCTAACTGTTCTAATTGTGAGTAGACATGATCATTTGATAAACATACTTCTATGACCTCTATTAGCTTTAACTTGGACATTTATAAAAACTTTGTAGAAAAGAGATGCATGCGTACAATAAGTTCTCGACATAAATTGGCTAAAGTATCAGATAAGAATTTAGCCTCAAGCTATGATACTTACAAGCTATAATAAATACGACGAATATTTAGCCTCAAGCTATAATACTTATGATGATGATGATACTGATGTTTGTCTTATATCCAGCGAAAAATATTACATATGTATTAAGGATGATGAAATGATAATGATAAATGATTATACCTTTTTGTACATGACCAACACTTACAGTCGCATTTTTGTATGCTAGGTAAATTAGCGTACCCGATACAAAGACACACTTGTCTTTCTTCGATTAAACCAACACCTGCTCTTACTCGTGAATGCATCATGCTTGGTGGTGAAGCCGAAAAATCCAGTCCTAAAATCATTCGATCAGGGGGGTCCAACAAAATAATTGAACCCGTAATCGAGACTAACCTGCTACCAGTCAATCCCATATTTAATAAAAACCTGTTTATATATTTTATGCTTTATGTGCATATATTACTATTCTGGCAACACTTGTTTTGTTGCAAAATTTGTTTGGTTTTTCTCCTTGTTTCTTTGTATCAAAAAGCTTAGTTTTTATTGTAAAATGGTGTTTCACAGCTTCCATTATCCTTGTGACTTGCTATTGTATTAATATCCAGTAGGCATGCAATTATTATTCTAAATAGTATAAAATATTTTTTAACAAGTAAAGATTACCCCGTTTTGATCCAGACTTCCTTACCACTAGCATCTAAGATACATACACTGATAAAATATTGTACCGGCACTCATATGGCAATCACTCTGTCTGTCCGTCCGCCAGTCTGTCCCGGTTCAACAAATATTTTCAATGTTCTCTTCAAAAGCATTAGTATGCGTATCATGCATTCTTTTTTCGATTTATTCATTACACTCCGACATGTATATACCTGGATCCGTTTGGAGCGTCCAACTATCAAACAGAGTCCAAATGGCGTGAATTACGACTACAGTGGCTCGTGCTGTCGTCAACAATAAGCAAATACGCATACCGTATTATCAGATACTATAGTATATAAGGCATTGACTTTGAAAAATGTAAACAGTTCAAACGAAAATAAACATTTTTACAAGAGTAAAATTAACCAAAAATGACAGAAATCAACCAACGACATCCACTGAATTGAAAGCTCCTGACTTGGGAAAGCCAATATAGAATTTGGCCTGATTAAACGCGTTTACCAGCGCTCAACACTCTGGTGTAACAGCACAATATAAGAAGAATAAAACCTGTAAAATTCAGTTGGAAACAGCTCAACTAATCAATATTGAATTAAGTCCAAAACAGTTACATTTTTATAATGAAAGACAAAGAGTACCGATCTTAAAGTACCCACAGGTACTGAAAGCTAATTCTTACATGTTAAATTACCTGAGAATATTAAATGTATTAGGTTAAAAAAAAAATAAGGAGATATGGTATGATTGCCAATAAGAAATGAAGTGAATGTAAGCAATGATAGGCAACCGTACGGCCTTCATCAATGAGAAAAATCCATACCGTATAGTCGACTATAAAAGGAACCAACTTGAAAAATATGAAACAATTCAATTGAGAAAATTACCGGCCTGATTTAAAACAAAACAATTTACGGAAAACAAATATAACAGATATGAACCAACGTCAACAAGTGAACCACAGGCTCCTGACTTGGGACAGGCACATAAGGAATGAGTGTCCAACCCCCTCCCCCTAAGCCTGGGACAGTGGTGCAACAGCACGACATCAGAACAACCTGGAAAAACCTTCCTTCAGAGAGCTTGGTTTACATATGAAATTTTTGGTCCTCAATGCTCTTCAATTTTATACTTGTTTGGCTTTCTAACTATTTTGATCTGACCGTCACTGATGAGTCTTATGTAGACGAAACGCGCGTCTGGCGTATCAAATTATAAGCCTGGTACCTTTGATAACTATATACATATTTAAAGTAATTATTAATATAAAATGTGTTTTCAGCCGTGTATCACCTTCACTGGTGATCCTATGCATGGATATGTCGTAGAGTTTAACTTTTATATATAAATATATACCTCTAAGACGAGACAAAAATTGAAACTAATTTTTTTTTGTTTAACTAAATCAATGTGTGATAGTTTTAGAATCCACTTCTTATTGGATTAGTAAGAGTTGTCTTAATCCAAAAACAACTATGACAATATCAAGCCTTACTAATTAAAAGTACATTTTGATAAGAAAATTACTGTAAAGACTGAAGTGGCATTATAGTTGTCTTAAAATGTAACAAGTATATACATTGGCATTCTCGTCCTTTTTAATCAGAGATACTGGGGGACAGGACATTTTTTTAGTCAATTACTATGTACTAAAAATTGATAGTTTACTATCCACAGCGGTCAATGTTTATATGCAGATTAGTCATCAATTGCTAATCAAGTACACCTTCCAAAATACAATCTATATAACGAATTGGTGTACACATTTATTTACATATATCATTATTAGCTACAAAATTCTTTTTTTTAATGTTGACTTTAATTTGAAAGAAAAGTGTATGTCAACTATTAAAATTTAAAGAAGTACAAGACCTGTATTAATATTTTTTTGAATATACACATCCCTTTGTCGAACGTTTTCCCTGGGGAAAAAATCGGAGATTGTTAAAAAAACAAGATTAACTGCAGAAGAAGAGAACGTTTGAAATGATGCTTAATAAAGTATGAAGCAATCCCAGTTGTCAACTTTAACAGAGACAAATTCTGACTAACACTTTGAATTCGATATTTCTGAAATTGCTAGAAACATCTTTGTCGAATAATAAATACCCACGGAAATTAAATATTATAAAACATTAAGAGACGAAAGTAAAAAGGGACACCAATCTGATAACGAAAAATAAAAGCATGTCAAATATTAAATAATAAAAGGTTCATTTGCAAAGTATATCGAAAAACAAAGTCATGGTCAAAACCATGATAGACGACTGAAATCAATTGTATGATAGGTAAAGATACGTGTATATACATGGTCTTATGACAGTGAAGTTTTGGCGGGAATCTCAATAATCACGTGATATATAAAAATCATGATTTCTTTCGGTTTTCATCATCTTAGAAATACTTGATATTGATAAAATTTATCATGAATGGGTTTAATAGTTTAGGAATACTTAGTTAAAACTTAAGTGACGCATTTAACAAAATTAATAGGTTAGCAATAACCGGTCCCGTTACGTGCGTACGTCGAGTTAGGTACGTATGTCATTTTATTGGAAATCTCTAATACATGTATCTTCCCACAATGCTTTAAACTTACAGACAAATCGGCATATCCCTATCTTTATCGTATCAAACAGAACGGAGTTTTTACCAATGAAGTAAAAATATTTTTCTGGAGATATCAAAAGTTTGTCACCTTTACGAAATGCTTCCGTTATTGAATAACACTGCAAGTGACGGTAATTGGTCCTTTACCAGTAGAGAAAAATGAAAGGATGTGTAGTTTCGGGAAGAACGATGTAAAATTTTCAATTGAAGCAGACTTGTCTGGCAAATTTGATGAACATTGATCATGTTGTTTCATAGCAAAAACTAAACCGAGAATATAAATTAGACAAAATTAACCCTTGTGGAGTCATTGTATTCATGTTTGCCAAACAATCATCATAAAATTTTGTTACAGTTCTTCTAATCGTTTCAAATGATTTGGCGGTGTTAATTCAAAGGAAATGAAATTGGAAACAGATCAGTCAAAATCAATAATTGCGTTCTGACTCATGTTTTACATCAAATATGAAAATGATTCAGTTTGTCGTACATTATATGGTATCTTTTACACGTTCTTACCATATTTGAGTTACATTGTCTCATAAGATTCGGACGAGAATATTATAATGTGAAAGGTTCATGAATATGCGACGATGGTCAAGTGGTGGTAAATATTGATTCATTCACATCACATTAAACCTTATGCTTTTTATAAATTCTTACTATCATTAAATTTCTCTTCCATGTCAACCTTAGTGGCATCATTTAAAAGATCACTATCAAATCCAAGTTCCTGGAATCTTTGAAATAGAGATGCAGCATCCACATCACTTCCTTTACGGTCACCTAAATTCAAATTGTCATCAAATTCTGTGTTATTGACCACAACTGCTATCCCAGAACTAATTGGATATCTGTCTTGTTCCAAATGTGCTTTAGATACAAAACCTTTTCCTACGTTGCTATAACAGAAATTAATTTCAAATAAATAAAATAATTCAATAGTTACATAATTATATATCAGTATACGGGTTCGATGCTGCTTTTTTTAAACTAGAGATGTAAAATTTATGTATTTAAGTACATGTTTAATAGGTTTCGATTTAGTTTTATTTATTTTGTTGACTTTTCAATCCTATATGAATACTAAAAATGAAACTAAACATGTTTGTATGTTTGTATGTACCTCTATTAGATCATTACGCATTCAAAAATTAGAAATTTGTGAGATTCTTTCAAATAAGACAAAATATTTTTCATTTGTGATAACTATTTAATTTAACATATAGCTCTTATTTTCATTGGAAAATGTCCTTGATACTCAACTAACTTGATATATAGATATGACTCTAGCAACTTGTTATTTGTGATTAGAAAACGAAAAGATTTCATAAATTCAAAGAATAGGGTAAGCATGAGTAAGAAGCGGATGATAACATTAACAATACTTTTTTTGCTGCATAACTGAAGAAACAGTATATGTACCTTTCATTTCCATAGGGGATAGTTGATTCTGTTGACGTGTCCACTATTTCACCACGACGAGCATCTAATTCGTCTCCCATTTCTTAAAAGGTTAAACAAGTTTTTAATAAAGAAAAGTTCTCTAAAATTATATAAAGTAGGAGAAGGTAAAAACGGATACAACAAATTATCAATTTCCAGCCCCTCTTGCCATGTTATTACTGGGGATCTAAACATAATTCTACATGAACATCTCTGAAAGGTGATATCTCATGGTCCTAAGTTCAGAGAACCCTAACACATCAATTGAAACCATAACTTCAAAAAAAATTATGGATTCCATTGAGGACTACGCCAGAGCATGGGCTAAACGAGAAGAAGTTGAACTGCACACTTTGTCAGAATGGGTCAAAACAATCAGGTCTCTGATAAAACGTCGAATTTATAAGTTGAAAAACTGTGAACGATCGACTAAAGTCCGTTTTCAGAGACAAAGAAGCTGTGAAATGTCTTTCGTCTCTTCACGATAAATATGTTGTTGTTCCTGCGGACAAAGCTTCAATAATATTATCTTTGTATGTAAATCGTACTACTACGAGTGTCTTGTAAAAGAATTGGGAATAAATGAGCACTCAGGTAATCCCACATACAAAAACATACCATTTGACAAGGATGAGATTTTGGCGAATCATAAGTCTTCATGGCTTCAATGAACATTACATTGAACAGCAAATCTGAGGATTTACCATGTTTGTATTGGATACCTAAGCTTTACAAAATTCCATACAAACAACGGTACATTGTCGGCTTATCTGCATGTTCTACAAAGGAATTGTCTATTACATTGACAAAAAGTCTGTCCTCAGTGAAAGGGGGTCTTCAGAAATACTGTGAAACTGTTTACTCGCGTAGTGGTATTATCCATATGTGGATTCTAAAAAACTCTAAAGAACTTCTGGATAATTTTAAATCTCGATCTTTCTCTGAAATTAATTTAATCAAAACTTTTGATTTTTCAACCCTGTATACCACCATTCCCCATGTGAAATTGAAAAATCGTCTAAAAGAAATAATCCACAATGCTTTTCAATATAAAAATGGTAGCATACGCTATACATTGATTACTTTGGGATACCATGCGGCATATTTTGTTAATAGTGAACAAAAAGGTAAAACATGCTATACAGAGGAACAAGTGATCATTACGCTGGAGTTTCTTATTGACAACATTTTTTGTTGAATTTGCAGGTAGACTTTTTCAACAAATTGTCGGCATTCCTGGAACGATCTGTGCGCCTCTCCTTGGCGACCTCTTCTTATTTTCATATGAGTCGGAGTTCCTTCAGACACTTGTCAAAAACAAGAAGATCAAAGAAGCCTGTTCATTTAATTTCACATTAAGATATATTGATGATGTTCTTTCCATTAACAATCCAAACTTTTCTGATTGGGTTTCATTAACATATCCTCCAGAACTAACTAGAAGTTAAAGAAACAACAGACACGGATTCCTCCGCCTCATTTTTAGACTTATACCTCGAATTTGACATAAGTGGTCATCTCAGTACCAGAATCTATGACAAACGAGACGATTTTAATTTTGAAATCATCAATTTCCCCCACCTTAGCAGCAATATACCAATTTCACCTGCATATGGGATATACATTTCCCAACTCATTCGGTATTCAAGAGCTTGCAGCTGCTACTCAGACTTTATAAAACGTCACCAGTGTCTGAGCAGAAGGTTGATGAACCAGGGTTAAGTCAAAGAACGTTTCGTTCATTTTCTAAAAATAATTCATCGGAAGATACCAAGACCTTGTTGATAAATATTCCGCATCGACTTCACAAATAATACATGATGGTCTTGAAGTATAGATTCTAGGTACTGACATTGTTTATCATCTTAATTACGTGTTATAGTGTTCTATATTTCTCTTTGTCAATTATTAACCTTTATTATTTAGTCCATTTTTGGTAATATCATTTTGGCGTGGCTCGATACTTATTCATCCCGCAATTGTGTTGTTGTGCTGTGTCATTTTTTGTATTTTTGTCTTTCATTTTTGCTTATGTGCTTTGTCTATATGCCATTTTGTTTTTCTTTGTTGACATATTTGTTTTTTATAGTGATTAAGATTATAACACAATGTTGACTGCTGTACCCCTATTTTTTACATTTTTACCTATTATGTCTGTTTGTTTTGTTCACACATTGTTGTCAATATAATGCAATTTTATGCGACTGTCATACAAGTGAGAGTTTTAGCTAGCTATAAAACCAGGTTTAATCCACCATTTTGTACATAAGGAAATGCCTGTACCAAGTCAGGAATATGACAGTTGTTTTCTATTCGTTTGATGTGTTTGAGCTTTTGATTTTGCCATTTGATAAGGGACTTTCCAATTTGAATTTTCCTTGGAGTTCGGTATTTTTGTTTTTTACTTTATTCATCAGTGAGCTAAATTAATGTTTCACTAAAAACCTGTTTTATTGTAAATTATAAAAAGCAATCATGTATTATTTTCAACTTCCCGTTTAAAAATTTGAAAAAACCTAATCAAATATGAACATTCAAATAAGACAGTAGTCATCCGATATAAAAGTAAGGAGATGTGGTATGATTCATATCTCGCAAATGTATTTTGAATAAAAAAAAAATAACCCCAAGTGAAACAACTGTGACAATCGCATGGACTTCATTTTTCTGCAAGCGTCTCCTGATATGCATGCATCACCTGGCCAAGCGAACCCAGACTTAGTCAAAATACCATGATAGGAAATAAAGCATCAATCGGTTAATTTACAGATCAGACGACTATTCTGGTATCTAAAAATCTAAGATCGCGACATGTCTCTGGTGGGTTGAGACACAACCACATCGTATCGGTCAACCAGTTTGTGAAGACGACAGTTAATCTTGTGTTGACCTGATTTTACTCGTTCTAGCTCCTAACTCTGCTGAAGCAGTTAATTTGTTTTGAAGACATCACTGGTAATGAAATCCTTATAATGTAGGATTACTCACGGGTAAATTTCGATATAGAATTGTCTGCTGCAGTTTTTGAAAATTTAAACGAAACAAAAGCATGCAACAATCACATTTTGAATGAGGCACAGAAGCACAAAATGATACATCGCTATCCTGTTGAAATCTATTCCCGATAAATGGCAATGGAGAATGATCAATATTACAAAAATATATTAGTTGTATTTTTGTTCTGACATTGGAGTTGCGTAAACGTTATATACTTTATTATTTCAAAATTCTTTTAAGTTTTGTACCTACAATAGACATACTTCATCAACTGTTATCGGATTTCGTATACCTTTTGAGAGCATGACGCTTTTATAAATATGACAAACATTTTACGACTTTGTTAAAACTTTGTTTACTTGGAAATTTATATCATCCCTTTATTGTGATTCGAAATTAGACTGATGAGACACCGACTGCATCATAACATACCTTAAGTCTCTCGGCTCTAGACCGCTGTACCAGCTAGTCTATGCAATAACGCGTTCGTTTCAAATGATCTTAAAATTAATGATACTACTATTGTTGAGTGTAAGTTTGTTCCACACTAGCTAGAGGTATAGAGGGAGGGTTGAGATCTCACAAAACATGTTTAACCCCGCCGCATTTTTGCGCCTTCCCAAGTTAGGATTCTCTGGCCGGTGTTAGTATTGTATGGTTTTTTTAAAAATTTTGGTTTATTTATATCTTTCGAAGTTTAGCGTGACATCCATTTTCGCTGAACTAGTATACATTATTGTTTAGGGGCCAGCTACAGCACGCCTCCGGGTGCGGGATTTTTCGCTGTGTTGAAGACATATTGGTGGCCTTGGGCTGTTTTCTGCTCTTTGGTCAGGTTGTTGTCTCTTTGACGCATTCCCCGTTTCCATTCTCAATTTTACTGAAACTAGAAGGTCTGTTTCATATGATTTTTTTCATAGTGACACAGATTGACAAATTCAAACTAGAATCTATGACAAACGTGGCGATTTCAGATTGCTCATTGTCAACTTCCCGTTTCTCAGCAACAACATACCCTTTGTGCAATCGTATGGTGCTTACATATTTCAGATAATAATGTTCCCGTGTTATTCACTTTATACATACATTTTTCATACGAAATTATTACTTAAAAACGATTGATTCTGATTGGTCTCTTAATGATGTGGATAGATTCTATTGGTTTTATTGAGTTGTTTAATTGGGCACAGATCAGGAAGAGGAGTCACTCTTATACGGATCATCAGAATCCGGTCAGAATTAAATAACAGTATGGGTGTTTCGAGGACGAGCAAGGGATGTATTGATATATGATCACATATTGTTGGAAAAGTGCTGGTTGACAAAATGAAAAAGATTATTATAACGCATTCCCTTTGCTTTATCTACAATACAAGATTAGTTGTATTCACATTATTTCCAATGTGTAATGTTTTTATCATACCACCAGGCATTACTTGCATAATTTTATACGAAATAAGATACAATTAGCTCTGTTCACTAATGTTTTTACTCGATTCTGACCGATATGTAGTTATTAGATATGATTTAAATAAAAGTAACTTGTTAAACTATCATAAATCAAGAAAATCTAGAACAACACTTTAAAAAAGTACAACACAACAACTTACAAGTATAAAACGTAAACATTGCATGTGAAATCCTAGGAACATGGTAAAATTAAAGCATCAATGTACAACAAATGTATATGCAGATCACAATTCGTACTTTAGGTGACAATTGAGTTGATGGTATCAATTGACCTTCATCTGTCAAATTAATTTCATTCCAAGAGAGAGTGCAAATATTTCAGAACTAACAATATCGTGCCCTAGTCTAATGAAGGAGATCCGAAAATTAACCTCTTTGGTCTAATGAATATATCTTTCGTTTTAACTATTTGATGTTATTCATTTGCCTTTCACAGTACCTTATTCGTGACCCTCAGAACCGAGCTTTTCCCCTGTTTAGTAGCATTTCATAACATGACGAATATTTATGAAACTACATGTAGTATCAAAATGAACGTACTCCAAATAAAATAAAATACTAATAAATACTTTTGCCGAAAAATGAAAAGTGTGTCTTTTTTTTCTTAAATAACAAAACAGCAAAAAAGAAAAACCCGTCCGGCGTAAATTATGATACTGCGAAGAACTCTTAACCTTTTAGGGATGTTAAATTCGTTCAGCAATAATAATGAGGAAACCAGACTTATATCGATAATAAACAGTTTTTTTTTCTGTCGTCCTCATCAATAATTAGTTAGGTGTATCTGTGTCTGATATAAAGAAGACATATTTTCACGGATTGCTACATTATGTGATTGAGTATGGATTATGACGTATGATACATACTAAGCAGTAAAAGAACGCTTTCTTCTTTTCGCTCTAATTCTCCGTATGATTTTTTTCCTCTTGATTTGAATATATATTATATCGGTTAACTACTGATGCCTCTTATTGCGCAAACGTATATAGAAACATAACTTCTTATCATGTCGGGGCCTTTTATAGCCGACCATACGGGATGGGTTTTTCTCATTGTTGAAGGCCGTACGGTTGCCTATAATTGCTTACATCCACTTCATTTGAACTTTGGAGGATAGTTGTCTCATTGGCAATCATACCACATCTTTTTATTTTTATATTCTTATATATTTACGATATTTATGTTCTCATAGTAATGTGAAAAGTTACACATTTTTCAAAAATAGTAAAATCCCTTAGTATAAAACTCTTTTTAATAAATCTTAGCAATGTTTATTGCACTGACTGAAATATTTGCACAATGTACATTTGTCTAACATTTCTTTTTTCAAAAGTCTTTTCATATGAAAAAAAAAATAACTATAGATATTTTTAATGATCCGGAACATGACTGAATTTCAGTGTAAAAAAATCATGAGTATTTGACTGAGCTGTATGTACAATGGATTTTTTACGTCTTATACTATCACAGTATGTAAGAAAGAAAACAATTTATGGGAGAGTTTGTATAAACTTCTTCCAAGTGAGGAAAATAAAAGAAATATATTTAATGCGGTATAATTCGATATTTATTTTGTGCACTTATAAAATCACAGTATGTAAGAAAGGAAAATAATTTCTGAGAATAATTTGTAAAACCTCTTCAAAGAACTGAAAATAAAAGAAATCTATAAGTATTCCATGCGGTATAATTATTTGTTTTGTGTATTTGTTACCCAAATATTATATAGTTTTGTCTTAGAGTTAAGTCTTTTTCCTGTACTGGTTTTATTACATGTTCCGTTGTATATGTTAACTTTGGTATCTTTCGCCTACCTTCTGTTTCATTTATTCAAAATTTGTATGAACGATGTCGAGCTTGTCGTTAGGTAGCTTTCCCAATGAGGTAACCATCTCCGTTTATCCATATCAATCTTTTGAGGCATCGTTTTTGAATAGACACATATAATATTTTAACCCGGACTTTTATATTTATTGACATATATTTTTTTTTTAAAGATTTCCGAGTTGACCCAGATCAAGATCAAATTGTCGTACTAACTGGACATTAACACAGTTCAATTAGAAACTATAATTATTGCTATGGTTTTTTTTAATTTATAGTGAGGATATGAAGTTTTTATCATGAATAAGTAAAAATAATTAAAAATACCCATTGTAACTAAAACCAGTAACGCGCAGTTCGGACGCATGAAATTAAAAACTTGTTGTTTTCGTTTTTACATGTACTCGATCTGTTGAAAGACAAGCGGCTGATATTTCGGACATGCACGTTTTTGTTAATCATAATGATAATAGAAAGATTATTCAATAAGTAGTCGTATCGTATAAAAGAGTAAATTCATTATAGATTGAGAACATCATTAATTTGCACATGAAATGTAGAAGTAGTATATTTATGGTTTATTTATACAATGTATATAAAAATAAGAAGATGTGGTATGATTGCCAATGAGACTACTCATCACAAGGGACCAAATGACATAGAAATTAACAACTATGGGTCACCGTACGGCCTTCAACTATGATCAAAACCTATACCGCATAGTCAGCTATAAAAGGCCCAGAAATGACAAATGTTAAACAATTCAAACAAGAAAACCAAAGGTCTGATTTATGTACAAAATAATGAACGGAAAACAAATATGATATACAGCAACAAACGACAATCACTGAATGACAGGCTCCTGACTTGGGTCAGGCACTTACAGAATGTGACGGGGTTAAACTAGTTAGATGGCGCCAGCCAAACCCTCCCCCTAATTTGAATGCTGCAGTAAAAGAAACTCCAAAGAGACAAGTTTTCATATAGGTATCTGAGATTATACTTTTATAGCTAATTGTTTAATGGATATTGTTCATTAGGATATAAAAAGCTTATCCAGTAGAAAAAGTCTGACATAATTTTAATGTATTTTAATCAATGTAGGAAAAAGCGGAATTACAAATTTTACCCATTCCAATGAGTCAAAATCAGGCTTGTTTTATTCCTTTTTAATTATTTTCTTTGTTATTTGTCATGTTTTACAAACTTGATAACACATAAGTTTCTTGACAGAGAGAAGCATATAAATTTCTCTCTGCTCCGCTGATATTTTGATATCTGTATGAGCTGTAATTTTATTGACTATTTTGCATTTACCCTGTCCATCCGTACGTCCGTCCATATGTCCGTTCATCTAACAAATATTGCAAACACACTGCATTTTGTTATTTATTGAAGGATAAGGTGTTGCTGGCAGACTTTGGTATTCTCAGTTTAAAAAAGAAGCGGAAGATACCACAAGGATAATCAAAACTCGATATGCCGAACAGAGACCGACACATTTTGGCAAATGTAGCTTACCGATAGTCAAGTCTAATAAATCGATTAAGAAGGCAAATCAAATTAAGAAACAAAAACTGAGGAAATCTCTTTCTAAAGTGTGTCGACAGCTGGGCATGCGTAAAAAACCCATCGAAAACATGCCCCTTCTTCGTGACAAGAAAGTCAGAACTGGAAGTAAAAAAATGAAGGCAATATCCAGTTAAATTCGATATTCAATTACTTTAGTAATTATTATGTATTCCAATGTGTTGATTTGTTTTATATATTTTCAAATAATTACCGTTAAAACACCGTAAATAAGAAACTAAATATTTTACCTTTAAATGTGTCGTGTTGTAAGATTGAAGGAATGAACTGCTATCGCATAAGAATTGCAATCAATCGACGAAGAAATCGTTCACCGAAGTTAATTATAATTGTTCCAAGAATACTTCATACATAGATAACTCATTTTTCCTTCATTTTCTAACCTCGCAATTATGTTAATTAATCCTTAGATAATTTCTACCTATACCTGGTTTCCAAAAATGTCTGACCTGTTCCGAGAAGTAGACGTGACAAGAAGATTAAAAAATGTAGATAACATTTTTTTTAACAAGTTTTACGCATAAAACATCATATTAAAGTATATTCTATTGTTCAACTGAGTTATAAAAGTAAGTAAGATTTATTGAGATCTATTTATTTCTCAACACGTAAGTGTTTTTTTTTACTCAAAGTGGTATGTAAAGTGGATGCAATGTGAGCCTTGATCACTTGGAAATATCAGTAGATTCAGGCTCGGCATTCTGAATTAACTGATATTTTCTTTAAAACAATCAATTATCAAAATAATTAATTGTTTTAAAGTCAGTATCAAATACAAAAAGTTTCTTCTTATTTATCCGGAATTATACGAAAAGATTAAATTGACAATTACTAAATATACAAAAAAATATATACAATCTACCTCATTGCGTCGAATGGCTGAAAATAAAGCTACATAACGTCATTTTGAATTTTGTCATAATGACCATGAAATCTCTATAAAGGAACTTGGTGAAGTTTTGTTATTTGATACATTTTAACTTCCCTACATAAAAGCACAAATATATTGGTAAAATACACTGTGTCTAAACTACCCCGGCAAAAAATGTTTGGACTTGATAGTATCTAATGTCCGGTACGGTGACGGAAAATCAACAGACAGAGAAAAGGTAGAATTTCTATTTATTTATTTGTTTTTTAATGACATTGAAGAATAAACATACACATATAACTATTTTCGATTGTGTGATGTAATATTTTCTACAACCGTTCTAGGCTAATGGAGAAATAAGTAAAAAGGCACATGAAAATGGTGAATTGAGTGAACCTTGCTACGAATTTGTTTAATTTCTTTTTAAATTGTGCACATTGTACGGAAAGAAAAGTACGGAAAGAAAGATATTAACACAGAGATTGCATGGCTAGTCACTATGAGCACCTCAATATTTGCATTTCTGTGCATGGAACGGAAGAAATGGGTCATGTCAAAATGGAAGGACCCTGTTTCGTCAATGTTGTTTATTACACAAGGACCCTGTTTTGTCTCAGTATAGGACCCGGTTTTGTTTTGTTTTGAAACCACAAATTTATGAAAAGCTACGTTAGCACGGATCTGGACATTGCCCATCGGAAGAAATTAAATATTTGAGTCAAAAAGATGTTATACAGATGTAATTGCAATACAAACATGTGTTAAAATATATTTCAAACGGGAACTTTTCGAAATAGGGAGTAGACATTTTTGAATGCTATACGTATACCTTATTGATCTTATCTTCGAACTAAGTTTAAATGGAAGTAAATACTTTATATCATGTACTTACATTAATTCCTTATGATAGAAAAAAGAAGATGTGGTGTGATTGCCAATGAGACAGCTCGTCACAAGAGATCAAATGACACAGAAATTAACAACTGTAGGTCGCCGTACGGCCTTCAACAATGAACAAAGCTCATACAACATAGTCAGCTATAAAAGGCCCCGAAATGACAAGTGTAAAACAATTCAAACGAGGAAACTAACGGCCTAGTTTATGTACAAAAAAAATGAACGAAAAACAAATATGTAACAGCAACAAACGACAACCACTGAAATACAGGCTCCTGGCTTGGAACAGGTAAATATATTCAGAATGTGACGGGGTTAAACATCTTAGCGGGATCCCAACCCTCCCCTAACCTGGGAAATTGGTGTAACAGTACAACATAAGAACGAACTATAAAAATCAGTTGAAAAAGGCTTAAGTCATCAGATGGATACAAATAGAAATACATCTCAAAAATGTTTGTTTGTTTTCTTTACTACTGTAATGATGTAAAAATAAGAAGATGTGGAATGATTGTGTTACCATATCAATTTATCAAAAGAGTAAGGATAGTATGCTTTACTACACTATACGCTATGTTTACAATATATTTACTCATTCGTTCATGACGGACAGTGAGAGAAAAAACTCCGTTTTGATGGCCGTACTTTGACCTATAATGGTTTACTTTTACAAATTGTGACTTGGATGGAGAGTTGTCTCATTGGCACTCATACCACATCTTCTTATATCTATTAGAACGTTTTGGATATCTCAAATCAAAATGGTTGCCTTTCGAACATGTATTTTATGTCCGCTTCGAAATACACAAGTTCTAAACTTCCCCATTAGAAACAAAATAATTCTATCATGCCATGCTCTACGCTCATTTTAACATAGGTAGGCATTATATTTGTCAATATTTTATACCTGGCTAACGCTTGGTTTAAAAATTTTAATAAATATAATGCCTTCCTATGTTAAAATGAGCATTGAGCATGGCATGAAAGAATAATTTCTTTTTATAAATAAAAGTTGCATGGTTTGCAACATTATAACGTCCAATATGTTCGTCTTCGTCTTCGTAGAACAACCTAATTGGCAATTTAGCCGGTGAAAAATGACAATGAGACAGCTATCCATCAGAGACCAAATGACGTAAAAGTTAACAAATATAGAACACCGTATGGCATCCAACAATGAAAAACGCCCATACGGCATAGCAAGCTAAAAAAGGCCCCGAAATGAAAACTGTAAAAAAAATCTTATGTGAAAACTAACGACCTAGATTTATGTACAAAATAAAAAAACGAATAACAAATACATGTATGATATACAGCAACAAAAGACAACAACCGATTTACAGGCTCCTAGATTCGGTACTGGCACATACAGAATGACAGGGTTGAAAGTGTAAGCCCCCCCCCCCCCCCACGCTCCCCCTAAAAAAAAACAAGAAAAAAACTGGTATAACAGCACAACATATGAACAAACTATAAAATTCAGTGAGTTGAAAAACGGCTTAACTCATTTGATTACAGAGCCCCTATAGTAAATATGCGATTGGCGGCTGTCTCTGTTTTTTCGTCTTTTATTAAATTTTATGATGGTATACGATATAGTTACATTATATCAGTGGCGGATCCAGGGGAGTAGAGGGAGAACGCCGAACCCCCCCCCTTTTGGTGGCTAGAAATAATTATTCTATCATGTTTTTTACGATTTATATATAATTTTTTATTTAGCATAAAATCGTTAAAAAAAAGTTCCCCTTGCTACGCTCAGCGGTATAAAATCCGTTTATGAATACGCCCCTTTAAAAAATCATGGCCTCGGTCCGCCCTTGCATATTGACAATTTTAAACTTGACCAAATTGCTTCAATTGTAGAACATTTGTCAATGTACGATAATCATTATACAATGAAGAGATAAACCTATATATAATAGTTGTACTATATAGGGCAGTTGTTAACAACTTGATACTAGTGCATTAAAGAATTTGTAAATGTTAAAAAAAAAGAAAAGAAAAAGAGTGATAAAACATCGTTTATTTATAAAAATCACTAATCAAATAATCATTATTGCAATTTCCGGATGGCCTAAGACTTTTATACTAATTTATACTTAGCATTATTGTAACAAGGAGGGGTAAACAAATTTTTAACGCACTATTATTGTGATCCTTTGCGCCGCATGGAAATTCCTTTTCTTGGGCGATTCTGCATGCACATACATTTGTCTTATTCTCTTGCTTTATGATGAACGTTTAGTTTCAGAATATTTATTTTCAAACGATTATACTGTCTTCCCTTTAACTAGAGCGGACACTAAGATAACCATCTTGTTGCCCCAGAAAATCCCATATCAAATGTGAGTCCTTAAATTTTCAAAGCCGTACACTAATTAACACTTAAATTTGCATAGATGATATAAAAAAATCTAATTCCGTTTCAAAACCTTCATTTCTTTTTAATTTTTCCTTTTTTTTTTATACAAAACAAAATTGAAATTTGCTTTGTTCTAATATAGCAGGAATTCAAGTGTTTACGGATTCAAAAAGGTTATAAGTCATCCTCTGAAAGAAAATGTTTTTCAACGATCCCTCAAACTGCTGTTGAACGCCATATTTTAATTTTCGTCATGCGATTATGCATTATTTTCTATGACAAAACCGGTTCTGCTTTGTGAAATTTAAGGACAAAACCGGGTCGTACACATTGACAAAACCGGGTGCTTCAATTTTGACATGACCCACTTCTTTCATTCCATGCACAGACATGCAAATATTGAGGCGATCATAGTGAAAAGTCTTGACATCTCCGTGTTAATATCTTTCTTTCCGTACCTTTCTTTCCATACAATGTGCTCAATTTAAAGAGAAATTAAACAAATTCGAGGTAGGGTTCAATCAATTCACCATTTTGATGTGCCTTTTTACTTATTTCTCCATAAATCTAGAACGGTGGTAGAAAATATTACATCACACTATCGAAAATAGTTATATGTGTATGTATATTCTTCAATATCATTAAAACAACATATAAATAAACAGAATTTCTACATTTCTCTGTCTGTTGATTGTCCGTCACCGTACCGGACATTAGATACTATTGAGTCCAAACATTTTTCGCCGGGGTAGTTTAGATACAGTGAAATACAGGTAGGTCAAACTATAGAATATTTTTTTTCGCAAAAGTTACATATATCTTTGCTCTGAACCTGTAGTAATCGGCAAGCTCAATTCATGCCAAGAAATTGCCTCCGTTGAAATTTTGCAAACATCCCATAGAGCAAATTACATGGATGATTAATATTGACCATTTGGTATATGGCCGTGTTCTAAGCGACACGTACTTGCAGGTCATAAATTAATTTGTTGAATGAAATCAAATCTTTAACTACTAATAGGTGCCGTAAGAGGTCCACCGGAATTTTTAGCGAGGATTTCTTGGCATGTAACAGATAGAAAACTCAGGATTACAATTTATAGAACAGACAAGGGGCAGTGGCAAATATTTCGTGTATATTATGAACACAGAGAAGATTACCCCGGCACCCTTTGCAAAAAAAAAATCCTTCTTTTTCTTCTATGTGCCTTCGGGCTTTATGTTTTGAACTGTAGTTTCACTTTCCATATTCGGTATTCATTCTAATGTAAGCTCCACGTGGCCAAAATCACGTGATGCAGGA